CGCCAAGTTGCATGCCGATGCACATCATCCGCCAAGTTGCATGCCGATGCACATCATCCGCCAAGTCGCATGCCGATGCACATCATCCGCCGAGTCGCATGCCGATGCACATCATCCGCCAAGTCGCATGCCGATGCACATCATCCGCCGCATCGCATGTCGATGCACATCATCCGTCGCTACGCATGCCGATGCACGCATCATTGTCAGCGCCGATCTGGAGCGGCATATCGCAGTCAGCGCGCCCGTCTCGCTACTGCGCTGACTTATCAGCTCAGGCTTGTCACTCTGCGCCGCCGCTGCGATTGTTGCGCAAATGAGAAACCGAGGACGGAGGCAGGCGAGGGAAGGGTGGGGGGGAAGAGGGAGAGGGGTCTGGGTGGGTATGGAAGCATAAGGGGGTTGGGGTGCAATAGGTTGGAGTTAGGTTGGAGCTGAGGGATAGGTTGGAGCTGAGGGATAGGTTGGAGATGAGGGGATTGTGGAAAGTGAGTGAGGAGAAGTGGAAGGGAGGGAAAGGTGAGATTGAAGTTATTTTAGTGAAACGAGATGGTAAATGATCACTATGATTCCAATTTGGAGAATGCGATGTACAGCATGTTCCCTAGCTCAGTGCCCCTGCTCCCTCATTGTTTGCGTTTCCTCGATGCCCCTTTTCCCCAGTGCCCTTGTTTCCTCGATCAGTGCCCTTTTTCCCCCAGTGCCCTTATTCCCTTAGCCCCCCTATTCCCTCAGTGCCCCTGTTCCCTGAAGCCCCTGTTCCCCGGAGCCCCTGTTCCCTCAGTACCCCTGTTCCCCCGCGTCCTCTTCCCGCAGTTCCCTTGCGAGGGAAGGGCCTGCAACAGACCCTCCCAGTAGGAGTGTCTTGCCATCCATAGGGAAGAGTGGGTATCTTTTTCCCCTCGCATGAGGAGGGACCAGTCTGCCCCTCTCGCGTCCCACCCTCCCCTCACTCCCATGCTCCCCTCATCAATATTGCACACTGATAAGTGGGAGTTCGCTGCTCCCTAAATGATGCACAGCCCTGGGGACGCCGATGGTGTCGCCGCCATATTGCTCATCACTATTGCACTGCTTACCTAACTCCAAACTCGGCTAAAATATCTCTAGCTTCAATCACGAAAGATAATTATATATTCATGAGCCACTTCTTGGATAATTATCCTGATGATGAGTTCATATCTAGATACAAAAAAAATCTATATTTTTATTTGCATTATCTATAGAACTATTAGGGCTTTTCTGAAGCAATTCGACGCCACGTGTCAGTCATCACATTCTGCGAGGTTGATTCAAAACTGAGTTTGTCTACAGTGCAGTGATAAGTTCGGTTTTGCTTAAGATGAAATTTAATTCTCTAAAATTCCTCGATAAAACTCTCATACACTGAATCTGAAAGAAATCTAGTGGCGTGCTGGTGTTCAAAGGTAATGATTTTGAGCGCAAGCTTATCTGTAAATATATCCAGACAGTATTTGTCCATGGACAATTTTCGTGCCCATTCTGTTAGCAAGAGCTTAAGTTATTCCATGAAATGGTTTTCCGAGTTCAAACGCTGCTTGTCTCTCAAATAACTGTATAGGCAAAGTTTCTATACAGTGATTCATTTCTTGTAATTTACATTTGTGAAAATCGATTCGACGTGAATATTTCTACTTTGAAATTCACACCACGAATATTAATCATTCAACAAATGTATGCGGCACAACAACGTTTCACTAACGAACTGGATATTTCCCGACTCAGTAGATATGTCGAAAAAAAATGTCGAATTTTAAATTCTGCATAAACTGGCATTCGCTGATATCTTATATGGGAGGCTGCCGGAGTGCTCGTGCTGTCCGCATTCGAGCAAAATTCCTCCTCACGTCCTATCGGGACATTTTGCGTGGTATTTCCTCCGCGTGACATGTCAGGAAATTTTGCGCTGTATTCCTCCGCGCAACGTGTAGGGACATTTTGCGTGGTATTCTTCCGCGCTACCTGTCAGGACATTTTGCGTGGTATTCTTCCGCGAAATTTTCAGATCAATTTGCGTGGTATTCCTCCGCGCTACCTGTCATGACACTTCTCGTAGTATTCATCCGCGCTACCTGTCAGGACATTTTGCGTGGTATTCTTCCGCGAATTTTTCAGATCAATTTGCGTGGTATTCCTCCGCGCTACCTGTCATGACACTTCTCGTAGTATTCATCCGCGCTACCTGTCATGACATTTTGAGTGGTATTCCTCCGCACATAATGCCAGAATATTCTGCATGGTATTCCTTCGCGCAACGAAATTAGACAATTTGCGAAAACACCGTCGGTTTTCCTCGTAATCTGTTGGCATATTCGAGCGCATATCATTCGGATTTGCACTTGCTGGAAGCGGGGGAATCTACGGCGTTGGCGCTTCACAAGAAGCCATTAAATAATAGACTATCAACATCTATAAAATCGAATACCTTTTACGGCATTTGGGAAACTGAATAATTTAGTTATGAACGAACCATATATAGCTCCACAACCCAACTAAATATAAGTATAATTTAAAATAACCTAATTATATGAGCGAGCGAGCTCGTATTTTTCACCAAACTGTAGTGTAATAAATCTTTCCAGGCATTTGTGATTTTAACTCGTGAAATATTTCGTTATTTCGGAACTTGTGGCTGCAGTTAACCGTAGGATAGAAGTGGATAGGTTAATCGTAGGATATTTAATCGTAGGATAGAAGTAAACTCAACTATTTCGACCTTCATAATGCTTTAAAATTTAACTAATACTTAAAAGCATATACCGAGAAGCGCTAAGAGTTTTGTAAGGTTTTCAGTAAACTTGATGGCGCCAAAATTTGTGAATATTTAAAAATTAGCAAACGATTTTTCGGCTTCAGGCATATTGTTGCTAAACAGTCCGCGGTGCTTAATATATGGCGGGACATGAGATTTGAGACCGCGGAGCCATGGCGTTTATGGCGGACTTGAGGCCAGTAAAAAAGGCGCATATGGCAAGACTTGAGACCAAGGCGCGTATGGCAGGACTGGAGACCGAGACGGGAAATAAATTAAATTACTGCAAATTTCGTTACCGAAAAAATTGAAATTACGTAAACAGGCTCAATTTACATTTTACCCCACAGAATATATTTTAATTACTCTTACACGAAAATACATATGTACTTAAAAATACATATATGCAATAAGAACTCGGATGAAATACTTTCGGCCACTCGACCAAATTGAAAATGTTTAACTCCAATGAAACACCTGTCTGATCTTCGCCATATTGTGCGATTTACGACAATAAACGAATGCTTCTTACTCGACGAGTTCATACTCGAAGTTCATACTCAACGAGTTCATACTTGAATTTAATGTTTACTTTACCTAAAGATAAATCATCAAGTTGTTTTAGTTAAAATCTATTGTTGTTTTTTAATCGAGATTTGTAATGTAATATTTCGTGGTTTATATAATATGAGGTAGTAAACGTACTACTTGCGCAGTGAGAAACCAATATTCATTCGAGATTCGGCCGATCTCATATTTGCGCAGAAATCATGGTCGCACCATGCATGAGACACGGGTGGATTTTTGAAATTTATTAATAATAATACCCAAGCTCTGAAATAATTTCAGACTCCCCATTTTCTCTTGAAATTAATTTATTATACCACCATGATTACAGACATCCATTTTGCATTTCGACTTTTTTTGGTTCCATTCCAATCTTATCTCGAGACAAATGTTATTTACTTTAATAATTTAACAAGTTCATATATTTACAAAGAGATCGTATAGTTTTTACAATAATCGTAACATCTCCCTCAGTCTTAACATTGAATTAGCTAGTTTACTTTCCAATCTGTATGTTTTGTAGTCGGATTAACAGCACCACTATCAGTTATTAATCTTCGACTCTCGGGATTAGACCATGCAGTTGAATATTCAGTAAAAATAAATTTATGCCACACCATCCAATCGTTGACATCAATTTCAAATTCCCTCTCCTCATACTACATGAGATCGCTGAGAAAATTTCAAAAAGCTTCGGAAATTTATGAGGCTGAAAGTTTCCTTATTTTTGGATCATCGAAGGAAGGAAGACTCAGGAGAGGCCATAATTGATGCTACGCGAGGTCAGCGGGACTCCTATAACTGACATATCGCCAGGCAGGCGCTGTAGTATTAACGAGACCGCGTCTGTATTGACGCCGATGCCTGTCGGGCTTTCCTTTACGACGCTTATTGAGACTATAACGGTGCTTACAGCGAGACTCGGGACTGCGGCACTCATGGCAGGTCTTGAGTCCGTGGTGCTTATATAGCGGGACTTGAGACTGTGGTGCTTATGATAGGACTCAAAACCGCGGCGCATATGGCGAGACTTGAGACCGCGGTGCTTATGGCGAGACTTGAGACCAAGACGCTTATATCAGGACTTGAGACCGAGACGCTTATGGTTGGACTTGAGACCGAGGTGCTTATGTTGAGACTTGAGACCGAGACGCTTATGGTTAGACTTGAGACCGAGGCGCTTTTGTTGGGACTTGAGACCGAGACGCTTATGGTTAGACTTGAGACCGAGACGCTTATGGTTGGACTTGAGACCGAGGCGCTTATGTCGAGACTTGAGACCGAGACGCTTATGGTTAGGCTTGAGACCGAGGCGCTTTTGTTGGGACTTGAGACCGAGACGCTTATGGTTAGACTTGAGACCGAGACGCATATGGTTGGACTTGAGACCGAGGCGCTTATGTTGGGACTTGAGACCGAGACGCTTATGGTTACTTGAGGCCAAGGCGTTTATGGCGGGACTTGAGACCGAGTCGCTCATGACGGGACTTCAGGCCACGTAGGAGACTGATAGTTGGACTTGAGACGGAGGCGCTTATTTCGGGACTTGAGACCAAGGCGCTTATGTCGGGACTTGAGACCGAGGCGCTTATGGTGGGACTTGAGACCGAGGCGCTAATGGCGGGTCATTATGCAGGTTGGCTTATGTCGCGATATAATGTATATTTACCATGCATTTTGTACTGCCTCTATTTGATCTTTTTAATTTCGCTTGTTTCATTTTTTTTAGTTTTCCCCGAACAACTAATTCGTCTATATCCTCCATTTTTCTCATCTTTAGCACACTCCACACAACGCTGAATTTATTTTCCATCACACCGAAATTTGTCCTTGCAACTTTCCATCATTTTACACTTCATTGCTTTATATACATCTGTTTTTTTCAAATATTTATTTTGTAGAAAACGCCGGCACATTCAATAGTTTTTTTCCATCATGTATTCAGAACACCTTTTTTCCAATTTCCCTCCCGTAATCCGGCTAGGGTTGACGAGTCGCACGAAGAGTGTTACATGTGAAATGCTACACGGCGCAACACGGCCTCGTGTGTCACTCGCCGACACGTCCTAAAAAGAGCAACACGCGCAGCGTAACCCGACCCGGCGGGAGGAAGAACGGGCTGCGGGCCGGTGACTGCTGTGGAGATCTGCCAACAGATATCACGGCATCGTCGATCTATTCGCAAAGAAGAGTTTAATTAAAACGTTTCCCTCGTTTGAGGGCCGGCTTCGTCAGGATATAGGCCAATTCGTTTAAAAATTTTTTTAAATGTTTTTTCGTACTCCAGAATCATAACGACACAATCTCGATTTACCTTTCAATTGTATTTTTTAATGCATTTCAGTATTTTTCCCTGACAGCCTCATTTATTCTAGATATAATATTGGAATTTAATATGTGTATTTGCACCTAAGATATCCTATTGGTGTTACGGAAAATGTGTGGATGGACAAGAAATTAATGACAATTTTGCTGTACAATAGGAATAAACTTGAGCATTTCAAATATCCAATAAGTTTCGTGGAACAACCAAAAAGCTGATCTCGACATTATTTCAATCCCACCTCACTTGACGCCGTCAGGTGTACTCACTGCATGCCGTCCGTATCATGGCAATGTATTACACAAAATATCGACTATACTTTTTTGCTTTAAAAAGGCACTGGAGTATTTGGGGGATCCCTACTCGCAATGTAGGGAGACGCTGGAGAGTTGGCGGAGTTTGAGCTGCGTTCAGTAACGCCGACCTCAACATGCGAAGACTGCGATACATCAGACAATGCATATGACGGCGGTTCACGATATGAGGACGGTTCACGATAGGACGGCAGTTCACGATAAGATGGCGGTTCACGATAGGACGGCGGTTCACGATAAGAAGGCGGAACACGATAGGAACGCGGTTCACGATAAGACGACGGTTCACGATAAGATGGCGGTTCACGATAGAACGGCGGTTCACAATAGGACGGTGGTTCCCGATAGGAGGGCGGTTCACGATAAGACGGCAGTTCACGCTAAGACGGCGGTTCACGATATGAAGGCCGTTCACTATAGGACGGCGGTTCATGATAGGACGGCGGTTCACAATAGGACGGCGGTTCACGATATTAAGGCCGTTCACGATAGGACGGCGGTTCACAATATGATGGCGGTTCACGATATGAGGGCGGTTCACAATATGACGGCGGTTCACGATATGAGGGCGGTTCACGATATGAAGGCCGTTCACGATAGGACGGCGGTTCACGATACGACAGCGGTTCACAATATGACGGCGGCTCACGATAGAACGACGGCTAACAGGTGGCGACATTTGAGCGTCACCGGTTGTGGAAGGCTGCCGGACCCTCTCTGGTGGGAGCCAAAAATGCGAACTGAACAATGTTGCTGTCACCGGAACTGATATTGTGCTGATTATGAATGCAACGACGCTAGATATAGTTTAAATGTATAAACTCTGTATCACGATACTCGATCAAGGACATAGATACGGGATTGATCATGAAATAAAAATCTTTTTAATGAAACTAAATTATTGATCTTAATTTAATTCACCGTGGCCGAATGCACAACGAAATTTTTTCGAACCGTGAAGTTTGAGGATTTATGTTTGGAACATTTATGTCCACGCAGCTTTGTCCGTAAAAGGCTTACTAGATTAATCCTTGCAACGATTATACATAAGAAACACTTGAGTGGTGCATTACATCATACATAACAAGCGCACAGTCAATTGTCCATCCTCAGAAAGTCGTGGAAATTGAGGCAGAACTCAGCAATCGCGTGAAATGGGAAGAAAGCAGCGGGTGGGGACTGGGGAGGAGGAAGGAGAAGTATCAATTCAAGAGGAAGGTGGAAAAATGAAATAGGGGAGGAGGGAGGGAGGGAGAATGGATTGAAGGGAAGGAGGAGGGAGGCTGCATCAGGGCCTGATGATCTGAATGATTCAGGGACGCCGGAGAGGCGCTCACCTGCTGAATATTGTAAAGCTTATGTCAGCCAATAGCTGGGGAGCTGCTGGCAAGAGGGGAGTTTCGGAGGAAGGTGGTGCGGCGATGTAATGCTGGGGAGGAATGGTGAAGCTGAGGAGCAACGAGGGGCTTGGGGAAGAGTGGTGTCGTTGATTTGCTGCTGGGGAAGTCAAGCGACACAAATAACATGACAAAATAAATTTTTCGGACGTCAGCTCTAACTGATTCATGGCGAAGAGCTTATAAAATTCGAACAATCGCAAAAAGCTCACCTCCTAAAAAGCGCTGCGACAAAACTGCGCCGCACTTTGTGCTACTGAATTCCTGGCCGCGTCTCGAGGCCTACCAGCCGGCGGCAGACCGCGTTCGATCAGAGCATCCGAGGCGAGAGAAACTCGTAAGCCAATTAGGAACAGAAACCCTCTGGTAGATTTCCTCCGTGTAGATGATTGGGTTCAATATCAATATATCGGAATCGTTTTCATACTGAGATACACAGACATTTTTTTGATAAATAACCGAGATATTGAAAAGTATTTGACGGATAGTGTAGCATTAACTAGGTTCCTTGCGTTTAAAGAGGTTACAGCTAGATACTAATTTGGAGTAATTCGGCCCAATTTGAGGATCTTCAGCCTTTATAAAATATTTATAAGCCCCTACAAATTATTATACATTCATTTATTGCACTATTATTTCTAGGAAAAACGCCGTCAAACTCGATGAAATATGGCTTGAAAATTAATCTAAATTAATAACCACACCGCGGATAACTAAAATGTGATCATAGATGTGATCGAAGGCTTATCCAATCCCCCTCATGTATACATGAAACCTATAGTGACGCACCCTTTACTATATTAACATTTTATGCTTACTTCTATCATACTAAGCTTACTATTATCATATTATGCTTACTAATATATAGAATAAAATTAATCCCTAGAGAAAAAATTCTGTGTGACAAATCGCGTTGCAATGAATTAAAGCAATTGGCATGTAATAATTTGCGACAGCATGAACACGTAACTCAAATATGCACATTCTTATTTATTTGAAGAGAAAATGTTAGTCTAACGATGGTTTGAATGAAGTGGAGCCCAAGCTATTGAACTTGAAATTACTCTTCAAAGAAAGTAGTTGATTTATATATTCTAGACAATAACTCCAAGTTGTTTGAAGTTGCAGAACGTCAGTCGTTCAGAGTACCGAGACGAGACACAATGACGTGATTGAAATGGACACCAATGAGAGTTGGAGCGCAGGCTGGAAGCAGCAAATGACCGACACTTGCGGACAATAAAAGCATTCCTTAAACACGACCTTGGACCATGATGACTCAGCAGGTCCAGGCTGGGCCGGAGACCTGCCGAGGACCTGGAACAACCGTGTGTTGAAATGCGCAGTCTATGTTGAACTAATAGTGTCAACCAACAGGCGGAAATTGAGCATGTTTGATAACCCTATGCACTTGCAGCATTAAATTGTGTTTCCAAATAAAGAGTAGCATAGTTATATGTGAACTCATGTCTATATAGTATTTCTGTATATTTTGTCCAATTGGCTGGATTCATCGTTTTAAATCTTACTATCTAGTCACAGTTAATCGTCAATTTCGGTAATTGTAACGCCTGAAGACCAATAGAACTTCATTGATGAGGACATTATTCAGAAATTTTTAATAGTGCAAAATTTCTGAATAATGTCCTCATCAATGAAGTTCTATTGGTCTTCAGGCGTTACAATTACCGAAATTGCTCCGCCGTTTTTCTACTGGCAGGCAAACCGCAAATCATCTCTGCAAAGATCACTGCTTTCGAGCATGGGTTCATGCTTGAATCAAATGCTCGATAAAATAATAGTACCTAAAGAAGCTCTGAGGGCGATTAAGTGTTAGGTATGAGCACCAAAACACAGGTTTTATCGCCAATAAAATCGTGGAGAAGCGATTCCCCTAATGTGTGACGTCCGGAGTGCAGCCATCGTTTCCTCCGCCGCAAAAACTAGTTTGCGAGTCCGACTGTTCATGGAATCTGGACGAAGAAAAATAGAGGATTTTGCTTCAGATTCTGCTGCCGGACTCATTAAAATATCCAACGAGCACATGAATTTTCTTTGTCATGTTGAATCAAATATATATATGCAAGAATAATCACGGTGAGTATTTTGCGTGAAATTGACTATCGACCTTTAAATTGAGTGATTTCATACTCTACAGATATCACTAAAATTGATGGAGTCGCTCTGTCAATTATTGTCTATGTCAATCGATCCCCGTGACAAATGATGTAATCACGTGCGATTCTGGCGCCATATAGATGGTAGCACGGAGACAAATAGTGAAAATAAATATTTTACATAAATTGTATTGTGACAGGCATGGTTAAAGTTGTTAAAAACCATTTAAGCAATTTGTCTCTAAATTTGTTCGTTAGTAACATTATTTTTCATTCCAATCATCAATCTAATTGAATTGAATAGTTTTCCTCAAAAAAGCTACGGTATAAGTAAAATCATAAACAACCGCATGAGTGTGCCATCAGGCAACATATTAAAACAATTTAAATTGAACGTGTCTGTTTGATGGAAGACGACTGATACGTGAGTACAAAAGATGGCCATAAGTCGATCAGTGCGAAAAGATATATGGTAATCAATAAATTTGTTATACTAAAATCCATAAGAAGCTTGAATCGTTAAAACATACTTCGAGAATCGAGAATGAATGAAACATACGGCCACGAGGTGAATCCATGCGACGTCCTCGAATGTGTCCACGTCATATTCGAATCCATTATTGTTATAGATCAAAAATATATTAAACATGTTCATTTACATGCAACCAGGTCTTTGTATAGATTTTTAAACTTTACTTGTGTATCCTTTTTATTCTCACACACAACGCTTTCATCAACACAGCAGCTCAAGATTGTTTAAACATCAAAATTTTTGAGAAGTTCGAAACTTTCATAGATTCAGAGCAGCAGGTTGATTTTGTATTATGTGTAGAATTACGCGTCGCCTTCGCGGTAAATTCTGCATCTTGTAAATGACCCGTTGTTGCAGTCTAGGAATTATCGATTAATGCATCATTTGAAAACTATCACACGAATGAAGAAGACGGAAATTAATAGAGCCTCTGGAATTGGATAATAAACTATTGCATAACTGTCATATGATCGCCTTTAGTCACATAAATTAAAACTGTTCGAGTCAAACTGAATGGACTGCAGAATTTGATTCACTTCTCCCAATTGTCGTTAAAATGTATCATAAAATGTATCCTTACTTCTATGATTAACAGAACACTAATTGTCAAGAAAACATCATAGCAGCGTTAAGCAATCCACTACCAATGAATTGACAGTGTTACTAAATTTCATTTCTACGAATTAAATTTCGTCGTCACTGGACAAAATTTTGAATTCCGCCTCATGTTCAGAGCTATCAGCGCGGCCAAGAATTTAGAAGTCATTCATGTTTTTCTGCCTGAGCTAAAAATATGCCTGCAAGTTTTATGCTACCTGATTCGCCCCTGCACTCCTTCCCTAATTGAGAACCAGTCACCCCCAATTCTCCCCCTCCCCCGCCCCAACTGGCAAACAATAACTTGTGCTGAGTCATGCCGTCAACCTCTCCGCTCGAACTCGGCTAACGATCGCCCAGCCACACCGACTGACGGTTTATGGGGAAGCGAGGGTGAATTATCTACTGAAAATATTTCAAAATTACTGAATTAGTTCAGGATTTACGTAGAAATTCTTCACTTGGACATTACAATGAACAGCATTGCGCGTCACCACAGTAAACCTTACGGACCTCTGAAGAGATTGCAACGCGACAGGATGAAACTGAACAACTCGAGACTATTCTATTGGTGCAATAAAATACAGACCACATTAGTGAGAAAATGTATTAATGGGACAGGCATCTTGACAATCTAAGTCAAGATAAAGGAGATCAGTTACATATATGGAAAGGCCAAGCAACAGTTCCATAGAAATACTCAACAAGTTAGTGTGGTTATAAGTAAAAAAAAATTGAAAAGTTTAACGTTAATTCTTTCGAGAGCACTCGAGGCAGAGCGAATGTTTTATTCGGGTTAGTCTGCAAAGCAGAGACTAAAGTAATTTCGAGTTTTTTTTTTCTCGCTCAAAGAGCGTTGCGTCAGGTCATAACTCACGCAGAAAAAAAGACCTGTTCAATAACTGCAGCACTCCACTGAACTTAGAATAACGATGCAACAGTCAAGATCAGGACAAAAAGTGCCAAATTAAAGTAAATGCCTAACCGTTTTTAGTGAAGAATATAAAATGGACAACAAAATGTGATTCGCCTACTGTAACTAAAGCATTTACAACACTGTTTGCTTCGATAATTCTTGGATGAAATTTCAGCCATTTAGTACATTTTGAGGGAAACGCATAAGGAAAAGAGGAGTCAACTAAGATGGAATAAAGACGCCTGTGATTCGTTTTGTAATTAATCTATTCATCATCGGGATCTTGAGGGCCCGGGGCTCTTGCCTTGGGTCCTCCAGCCCTTTTGGCCATGATTATTTGATCCACTCTGAGAATCTGGCACGCAGCAGACGCCGCATACTTCAACGCCCAGTATTTGGTGCGCATCAAGTCAAAGACTTCTTTTTCATGAGCATCGAAGACGCTAGCTGATCCCGTGCTGCAGTCGAAACCATAATGATGTCCTCCTTCTTGGTGCTTCGCTAACAAATTAGCGACCGTTTCAGTACCAGGGGCGCCGCAATTCTCGGCGAGGATTTTGGGGAATTTTCTGAGTGCCTCAGCAAAAGCCTTGATGGCGTACTGTTCGAGTCCTGGGCACTGCCTGCCGTACTCCTCAATGCGGCGACTGAGTTCCATCTCACAGCTCCCTGCGCCCGCCACGAATCGACCGTCCTGCAACCAAGAGGACGTCATAATTCGTTCACCCAGAGCAATTCCGGCTTATTTGGTACACGTACAAGGGCTGAAGGAGAAAAAACTGAACGACCTGGATTGAGGTGATAATGATGAGAAGCTGTCATAGGATCTCGGAATTTTTCAATGAAAGTTATAAGTTAAAGAAACCCAATGTTAAATTGTTTCAGGCAAATAAAAGGAGAGATCAATCGCAACTCAATTTAATCATTGAACCTATTACTATTTTGAATATCAACCGATACAAACTTATTTGGAGAGACTAGGATTTCAATGATTTTACTGTCATTTGAGGCGCTCTAAAACGATAGTATGGGGAAAATACATGGGAAGGACATACCCTGCAGATCCCCTTGAAGGTGTTGACACCGTCGTCCACGGCGCGCTCGACGTCGTCCATGAGATTGTCTGTGGAGCCTCTGATGACGACGGTCACGATGCGTGACTCAGAGGCTTCTTGCCTGCAGGGATAAAAGTAATGTCAGGTGACGGCAAGCAATTACATGTTTGAACGTACCTATCTTACGCAAATACGAATCTAGAAACTTTAAAACTACAACAAAACTGATAAACTCCAGACTTATCTCATCAAGGAAAACGCGGTCGCAAAGACCAATCTCCTCAGGTGTAGGCATCGACATCTTAGGAAGAATAACGGCCCCAACGGTCTTACAGAGACGCCGCAAGTCCCATTTAGAGGTGATGCGCACAGCCATCATGTTGTACTTATTTAGGTAATGCAGGGCCATGTCACCGATCTTCCCTCCTGCCACCACCACAGTCACGCCAGCATCAGCCAACGCTTTTACCTGCAAATTTATACCATTATTTTGTGCCATTTTGACGTGGCAAACAAAATAGGTACTTGAAACTTACTTAAATTAGGGAAACAAAATTAGGTTTCAACGAATTCATTACCCAACGTCGTTCTTCTTATGCTTACCGCATAAAATGACAAAGTAAAACAAGGAAAGGTGATAATAAGAGGAGAGGCGTAATGGCACATAATTTCTAATCAGATTTGGTGCACAAGTTGCCACCTGCTTCTCCATGTTGACTTCCTCGCCGCGAGAGAAAGACTCGAGCTGCACGGCGGTGTTGATGAGCACAGTTCCTTTTGTCTCGGTCGTAGTGATGTCGAACGGGCAGGAATACACGGCAATCTTGGCCTTCTCCATCTCAGTCACGTTGCCTTCCACACCTCGCTTGAACACCATGCCCTAAAGCAAACAAAATTAAAATACAATTGGTTAGAAGAAAAAGTTGTACTGCTTTATAATTAAGTAAACAAAAGCCTTATATTGTACTTATTTATAACAATATGCTATGAAGGTGGCTACATTTTGGTAATATGCATTATAGAGACTAAGAAAAATTCATTGAAATTCCATGTACAAGTCGTCTCACTCCATATAAAATATTTAAGTGTTTATAAGCTAGGGATTATTAGACTGTAATTAACAAATATATATATATATATATATATTAATTCACTAGTTGATAAATACTTCCTCCTCTAACTCGTCAGTTAATTGGGAAGTGAACTGTGAACCGACTGTACTATTACTTTTATCGTACAAGTGCTGGAATAATTTCTCACCTGGACCACAGAAGACGATGTGATGCCACTGCCGCCAATTTTGCAGATCCTCACGTTGTCGACATTGAAGCTTGTCTGCTCAGGCATGATGGAGATGCAGGCACTGGCAATGAGCTCTGCTAGGAAGTCTTCGTAGCCATATTGTTTGCTCATCAGTGTGCCGCGGAGAGCTTTGCGCACCTGTGTCAACAAAGAGCAGTTAGAAACTTAAAATGAATGATTTTTTAAGCACATAAGCAATCTACAAATAACTGAAAAAGTTCACCATCAATAAAAAAGTAACAAATTTCTTGGAATGTAGGTAAAAAAAAGGTTTATTTAAAAACTGCAAGACGATTGATTAAACTGATAATAAAGGAACTTAGTCACACCATATTAAATAGAATTAAAGAAGAGATATGACACTGAATCATTGCAAAGCATTTCCATTTTGATAATAAGACCCATCACCTGGCTCAGGTCTCGATTGTCTGTGACCTTCCAGCACTCAAGCTCCTCGAGGATCTCGAGAGCCTTGTCCACTGCTAACTGATAGCCATCAGCAACATCTGCACATTAATTCAGGGTTAGAAGTTGATTTTCCACTCAAGTGCTGCATAATGGAAAAATTTATAAGTGTCAAAATGCCGCCTATGTCCACCACTTTGAAGAAAATTGCTATTGAGCAAAAATCCTTCTGAAGGAAGAATTTTATTCCTCACAATAATTTATGTAAGAAAGAACTCTGATTATAGAGCACAATTAGTGAGATTGTCATAGACAACTGCAATGTATGTAAGAATTATTAATCCTGGCCAACCTGTGGGTGTGAGGCCCATCTTGATGAGTTCTTCAGCCTTCTCCAACATGGCCGATCCCATGATGACCACCCAGTTGGTGCCATCGCCAGCCTCTTGCTCTTGCATCTCAGTTGCCAGGACCAGCAGTTTTGCAGCAGGGTGCTCTATCTATTCCCGCAAAAATAATGGATTAAAAAATGAGTAAAAGGCTGTGATTAATATTTTTAATATATATATGAATATGCCAGCAAATGAGAACAAGAATTATAATCAACAACAATTTAGTTTTACACATCAAATGTAAGCCACTTCAGACCAATCTGACAAAATAAAAGCAATAGCCAATATAATAATACCTAGTAAAATCTCAAATCTACTCAACTTAAAAAAAAAAACAAATTTCCTAATCAGGAAACCATTTTAATAGATTTGCTTCTCAGAAGAGTTCAGTGCAAAATCAAGAATTTAATTAACTGTCCCTTTAAAACTTAACCCAGCTGTTGTCTTAATTTTCAGCATATATATGCCCTATGTTCTCTGGGTATCTGGTTGGAGTGGTGGGTCATTTTGACCCTAAGACTGCAGGAGGGCTATAAAGGAATAACAACCATCAACTTAAAGGCGCATTGGTAATTATTTGGTGCTTTTGAAAAGAGACAGTGTAGGAAGCTAAAAGGAAAAACCACACAACGAGAAATTAAGAGAAAAATTAACAGTTCCACCAAGCTGATAAACATTTAAGTCTTTAGTTTTGACTCAAAATTGATTCTGACCTCAAGCTCTTTGATGATTGTGGCAGCATCATTAGTGACGAACAGCTTCTCAATGTGGTTGATGATCATCTTGTTGCGTCCCTGAGGTCCATAAGCTGTTTGAAGAGTTTGTCCAAATTCCTTGCATGCTCCAATGTTACGAAAAACAGCTTCTTCAAGTCCAGAATAGTGCTGAAACCAAATATAACGGTTAAGTACGCAAATTAATTGAAATTCTCAACTTTACCATCATGAAAATTTTTTATGCATGATACCTACTAGTAATTAGTAACAAATGTTTGATAATGAAAAAGAAATCATTATTGTAGAAGTAGAAGTTTGTTCAAATGTTTTCAAAGTTCAGTATTGAAGACAGGTTTAAAATTGAGTCGAATTGCTATAAAATAAACTGGAGCTTACAAGTAACAGGTCTATTGGTTTATAGTAAGATTTTCTACAATGCTCTGCTACCACAGAAATTATGGTAGATTGTCATTCAATATATTTTATCAGTCTCAAGCTCTCAACTGATGCTAGATGATTCAGAACCTAAAATCCAGAAATTCATTAGTCCCTGTGCATTATTGAAGAGACCTAAATTATCAGAATGCTGGCAAAAATATGTTTTTCTTTTTTATGAAAGAAGTTAGATGCAGGGTGGCCCAGTGGTTAAAGTTCCGAGTACCAAGATTGACGCACTAGAGAGGCACGGGTTCGATCCCAGCTCTGTGCGACAGAGCCGACAGTTTTTGGTCAGAATCAGTAAGGAGGCCAGGCGGTTAAGCACAGCAGAATTGTAGAAGTGCATTGCAAGTTTGAGACCTAAAAATGCTGTGAATGTTCTGCAATGTTAAGAATCGGCAACAGGCCTATGGCCTAATAAATGCTGAAACTGCTATTATTAAAAATGGCTGTAACTGAGCACAAGGTAACAACATGAGCATTTGGATTTCATTTACAGGTGGCTTTTGCCCAATTTTCTGCAGTGGTGATTACCAATCCATTCTCTAAAATTGGGCAAAAACTACCCATAAATGAAACAAAACTGCCCGTGCTTGCAGTCAGGCATGGGCCATGGATTGTGGAATGTAGATTGCTAGAGAATATCTTTATCTTTTCAACTGCAACTAGGCTACCAACTACCTAGAGCTTTCCTGCTATTTTTTGAGCTGCAAGATTTTCAATTCCAGTCCACTAAATGCAAATCAGGAAATAGGCTACTTCCTATCCTATGTAATGAAAAGGGGACAATTGAGCAGCAAGATTCAAAGTAGGTATATTGAAAGAAAATTCATTGACCTACTTTTTAGCCAAAAAGCAATAAGGAAAATTTTAGCAATAAGGGAAATTTTAGCAATAAGGAAAATTTCAATACTGCTTGCAGTACTACTAAATTTTACAATATCTATTAGTATTACCCTTGGCCCCTAGCAAAAACATGAACAAATCCTTCGCAAAATCCACGTGCTGGCTTAAAAAAATGAGAAAAGTAGCCAATTTTTGTCAGCAACTAAAAATTATTTTACATAAAAAGATTGCTTTAGCTACTACCTATTTGTCAGCAATCTTTAGAAAATTGTGCCATGAGTGAGATTATAGATTGTAACAATTCATATTTTATGCTGCTTTAGTACCTAGTAGGTAGGTACCTAAGAATTGAAATTTATAGTAGGTACCTACCACAAATTTAATTTGCACCATTTAACTTCAAAAGTTGTCCATCTTACCTAATTATCATGTAGGTAGCCTGGTAGGTACGTTAAAAGTGTCTAAGCAGTAAGCAGTTCATCTTCATACTGATTATGAACATACGGTCATGGATGGTGACAAATCAGTCCATGCTCGACTGAGGTTAATACTAAGTCACCGACAAGCGAAAATGTGAGTACTACCTAGCTACCAGGCTACCTACCTAGCTAGCTAGGTAGGTTCGTAGGTAGCTACCTAGCCTGCCGGCTGCCGTTATACTTAGTCAGTGCCGTATAGAAACACCTGTATAAATTTGAGAGATTCTAACCGTCGTAAAACCATTCAAAATAGAAAGAAAAAGACATTAGACCTCTTTCTTAAATAAACGAACCTTGGCACCATCTTTTAGCATCTGGGCAAAGCCCGGGGCTTTAGGAACGTGAAGAGCCATTCCTAGTAGTAGGTGACAAAAGAGTCTAGATTCTTCGACCTGAGTCAGTCACGCTGCGCTACCCTGACTTAGAAGCAAAAGTTACCGGTAAACGTCCCCAAGCAGTTGTTTCGGGTAAATTCATGTAATGTATGCAAGTAATAATTTGATAAACTTTCACACAGTTTTCCGCAAATTACAATGCAATTTATGAATAGAGTTTTTATTAAAATGCAAATATGGCCTCAATTGCTGGTACTATTTATTATCTCATATTAAGTCATGATCAGTAGAACATTTAACGATCATCACCCCTAAAAATGTAAAAATTTAACTTTAGTGATAACTTCAAACCACCTATGACAACTATAGATATGCATGGTCATAGAAGAAAAACAAAGTTAGTTTAAAGATAGACATGTTTAATTAAAGCCAAAAGATTGTAGACGATTTTTGATAGTCGCAATTTAACTTTTGAGTTATTGTAATTGGTAGGTTATTTAATTTCTCTCCTCAATAAGATTAACAGTGGCAATGATTTTCTGGAATTTGACAAATAAATTGACGATTGACTTTAGCCATACGCAGATGAACTCTTTCATGAATTGTAGGAAGTATGGTGGAATCACATGGTGATAAGTAAATAGTAATAATAGTGGTTTCAGCGCGCGTTAGGCCGTTATACCGGCCGATTGTTTATATCGCAGAACATTCTCAGCTTTTTCTGGGTCTTGAACACGCAACTCACTGCTCTATATTTGCTTTGTTTAACAGCCCGGCCTCTGCGCCTAATCTGACTAGCAGAACTGTCACAGGTAGCTGGGATCGAACCCACACCTCTCTGCTCCAATCCTGATACTCTGAACTGTAACTAAAGGGTTTCCCATGAACAAATAACTAAGCTTAACTACGGTAGAGTTCATAGTTCAATCATGGTAGAGTTCGTTCTCATCATTTGCAGTTATAAATAACCCCAATTGATTAAATTTTTTCCCAGAAACGGAAAGAGCTTGCGAATTGAACAATTGCCTCAGACCAGCGTATCGACTTTTTTACGATCCCGGTCGCCATAGTCCGGAACAAAAGATTTTTCATTTTCAAGTTATTCAAACATAACTGTGTCAATTTTTAACCTACTTTGTAATTATAAACTGCACACACTTATGTGCATCTGAGGTTGAGCCACGAGTCAACGAAATTTTTTCGTTATTTTCAGTTTTGATGCCTTCATTCCTTTTCATTCGCAGGGTGCCATTGTGTGTGGTGTCGCAATTTCTTCCGTTACATCCATTTGAATAAAGCGCGTGTCCTTGCGCCAAAAATTTACCATCTTTTTATAAAAATTAGCTGCATTATAGACGGGAAAATTGATTGGAAACACACTTCTAGGCGCCGTTTGCTTAGGAGCATTTCCAGTTTATACGGCTGCGGTCGATATTCAGATAGATATTCAGGAGTAAAATGTAAATTGTACAGTGTACATGCAGACGCAATTTCTTTCGGCCGGTGACGCGGTTGCAAACGCGTCGATTAGGCCGACACGAGTAAGAAGAGAGAAAATCGCCTTCTATTTATTATTTTAATTATTTGAATCGCCTTCGATTCAATAATATTCATTCTTTCCATCAATTCTCCATATCATTCGACCTGCAAATGTGCGAGTAAAATAAGTCAAATATGTGACCTGTAACTGCGTGACTCGAATGAGTCATATATGTGACCTGCAAATGCATGACATAAATGAGACATATGCGTGACCTGTCATGAGATCTGTCGCATGCGAGTTATATGCATGACCTTCCCCATGAGAGTTATAATGAGGCAGTAACTGACCGTCGCTCATTCACTATCAGATGTGAAGTTTTATCGTGACTATCAGTGGCAATGTAATTCATGTTTTGCTGTGTTCTTACCGGAAGTATTTGTGTGTCGAAAACGTGACGTGCAGCAGTCGGTATGCTACGAATACCTTCGCGGCTGTAGGGGTAATATAATAGACGAATAACAGAATATCTCAATCAATCGTCAGTTATGGAAAGATCGGGTTCCAAAGGCCGGATCCCTTGTGAATTAAGTCACGAAAAGTTCAAGAATCGGCAACAGGCCATGGGCCTATTTCTTCAGAGCCGACACTTCTATTATATTCTATTAATTTCAGGTGGTGTTTGTGCTGCTACAAGCCAATCCTATGGAAAAATTTCCAATTAGTGAAGCCACTCTTCAACATTCTACGAAAATGTTTCGATTCATGTAGCACTGATGAATGGTGATGCTATGCATCAGCTATTTGCGATGATGTTATTTACTTGCTTCAGCTGAGATGCTAACCACCATTCATATACGAGAATGCTTTATTTCGCAGAGCACTTACATTATTAAACATCATTCTGCCTATTAAGAAGTTCTATTATGAGGGGGCAATTACGATGCGCAACGACAACACCTTCTTTAGCGAAATTATTTAATGAGGCAAGTGCGACGCTAGTTCAAAACACCTTGTGTAACAAAATTACGTTTTTTCAAGAAGCAGCTTCGATATTACGACTCATTAACGGGTGTAGAATTTTTTTCTCTCAGATTATGTCAAGTGACTGATTCCACTTCATAAAAGTACGATAAAATTCATGTCTCCAGCAAAATGATCATGACTCATGTTAATAACAAAACGTTATGACATGATTCTTAAATGTATTTGAATGATTTTTAAATTAATCGGATTAATCGGAATTAAAGTAATTTTACAGCCAAGGTCACCACCATTTTACTTCAATAAATTTAATGTTATGCTATTCATAAGGGTAACATGGAGATATTAGGCTGCACGAGCATTCGAATTTTTTGTTAAAATTCTATGCCTCAAATTTTCAATCTAAGACCACGTTTCATAAGAGGCAAATACAAATCATTACTCACAAAAGTGTTGTAGGGAAAATCCACGTGCTGGCTTATCGTTTTATCTCTGAGTGCAGATGAGATGCTCGATCTGAGATTTTGGTGAGCATCATTCGATTGCCGCCTTGAGGCCTTCAGTCATTTTTGCATATCTGGTCCAAGGTGAAGGGCGCTGTTAGAAACTCACCGAGAGAGTAAAATGGTTGGACTCGAAGAGACAAGATGACCGTGCGCACATTGAGAAATAGTAGTTGCTGTGAAAACAGTGGAGAACAGCTATTCATTAATTATTTAATAATGTGAAATAGGTCTAAGATTTTTTCGAAGAACAATCTCTAGTTCACACGTCCGGGTTTCCGGACCTGACTGAGCTAGCTACTCGTAATGATGATATTGTTAGTGATAACCCACCTCATCACTGGGTGCTTGTTAACGTCGACTTCAACATCTGCTTCGGTGGTTCCAAACAACACTATTAAGGTCGCCGACAACGATCACCTTCAATATGCGAACACTGAAAACACATCGTCGAACAAGAACGTGACAGGGGATGAAAACTTGCACGAACTCAGTGAGATCTTTCTCCGAATACCTGCGACGAGTGTTAGACGAAACTCAACCTTTGACCCCACAGTGGACCTATTTATAGCCACTACAATAAATAGCATCAATAGCGATACGAGAACGACTGAACAAAATGTCGGCCAAATGACTTTACCTCCGAACGTAACGGGTCTTTGTCCGGAACCTGGGCCTGAAAATGGCCTCGACCCTTGCAAGGTGAGTTTCGATGGAATATTCGTTGTTATTTACAATGCTGTAACATTACTATTGAATTTCCCAACTAAGTCGTCCAATATTGCGTTATAATTATTATTGCCTAGGTTAATAAACAAATTTAATATAAATGTTAAATTCCTGGTCCTCAAATGTACTTTTCTTGTATATTTTGTTCGCCTGAAGCATGCGTGTCACCGACAATTTACTTTAGTTCAGTTTTATATGCATCTAGGGCTTCAGACTAAGCCTTCAGTTCCGGTAATGGCTCCAGACTAAAGTGAAGAGAGGGAAATGTTTGGAAACGCTTATATGAAGAAAACGGAACGAAAATCACGAATTCAGATCCTTCGCAAAACGACTATACGTAACAATAAATATATCGCTTTACTTCACTAATATCATTTGATTGTCTGTAATTTACTTGGGATGTATGCAAAATCATTGGAGAACGACGTATTGACCGTTAACTATGTGGAGTAGCAGTTTGTGAGCTGAAGCAGTGTTGTTTAAAGTTCGTGTGGTGAGATAGGTCAATTGACTACAGCTGCTTAGGTGCCAGGATGACAATATCTATAGCATTTAGATGGTTGATGTTGGCTCCAGGGTTGATTAGAGCGTTAATTTGCTGGTCTACGGCTGCGCACCCATTTACTTAAATTAGGTAGAGCCCGTGTAGCGGCTGAAGGCTCGTCGATTCAATCGATTTTTTCCCTTGGCATAGCTGCAGAGTGCATAACTTTCGTATTTCAGGATGATTACGTTATCCGCAACTTCTATGACCCGGCTAGAGTAGCTAATGTTGCACGAGTCGTAAGTGTTAAATGGATATGATTTTACCGCGGCTGCTACATCTCAATATCGCCGGCCAACGGCCATCGCCGTCTCAGACGTCTGCAGAGCTGCAGATCGTTTTATTGCTTGACGGGCTTAGTGCTTGTGCGACCTCTTAGTCAATATACATTGGTATATTGGTATATTCCATTGGTATGTTTGGAGGCAGGCAAAGGCGGCCTCATCCCTGGAAGGCCTCACGTCTCGGCAGTTGTGACAGAATGTCCCATACTTTGCCCTCACTCGTTCCTTGCCCGGTTTATTATACTCGATCGAAAGCTACTCGGTGTCCTTAAAATCTTGTAGTCTGTCATTCAATAGCTCAACTTCTGTTATTAACCTACGTTTTCTCAACCACTCTCAATTCTTGACCTCCCATAATGCAATGTTTAGTATAAAAGTCTTAAATAACGTAACCATTATCTACGGTTGCTTCCGACTAAACAAAACATTGAAGAAATATATTAATTGTTTGCCGAACAAATTTATAGCAAAGCCACTTTCTAATATTTTTTACGCGATTAAGGCTAAACGTAATATTTAAAACAAAATTAAGACCTAATTATCAATATTTGACTGGATCGGTGACAACGTAGGCATGCAAATGAATTGAAAGAACAAAGATGACCCAAATCACGACACGTTACGTAGCATGCCTTATGTTTGTCGTAAGAGACTGCGTGGCACGAGAACTCAAGAAGACACTTGAGTATCGTGGGAAAAGTTAATTAGAAAGTCAATATCGTGGGAATATTCAGCTGGTGCACGTGACATGTGTGTATTTTCTGACAAAATGCCACATGCGATGCCACTTGGGAACATGTAACTGCGTGCGTGTTGAGTAATATCTGCACCCACGCTCGCTTTGATAAACCTGTATCAGCCACTCACAAAAGTCATCCTAGAGCATGAAAATTATGCGCTTCTGCTAAAGATTAGTTGATTTCTTCTGCTAATCGACTTCCTGACAGTGCACCAACAACGGAGGCCCGCAGGGCGGTACCATCAACATAGACTGTCCTCCTGAGGTGTCATCACAAGCCATTCTCGAAGACATCATCCGACGCACGACTTTCTTCACCTTTGACGTATATAGGTAATATAATTAATGAATGAATGAGCCGCAATGGTAAATTTTTCCTGGCCCTATGTAAAGAATTAGAATTAGTCAGTATTTTTCGAAAATTTCTGACAGAAGATTTTGGTTCACAGGGGTAATGCATGCAGCTACAACTCGATTTCATAAAATTTTGACCGTGGCGCTGTATGACGCAGAGAATTCGAACATGGCTGAGTATAATGAATTATACGAAAATGTACTGCTTGTTGCTTTGACTAGCTGTAAACTAGCACCCCTAATTATTATTGCAATAGTAATTATTACTGCAATAGGAATAACAACAATGTAACGTGACTGTTCCGACTGATAACCCTGGCAATCGTCGCTGATGCAACTGCTTCTACTAGGCGAGTCTTTGTCATTGATCCTGATAAGCGATTCGAGAGCGTAATAAAAAACGGAAAAGTTGAAGTAATAGTTCTTGACCACGTACCATTCGGCCACCGGGATACAGAATACCTTACACGTTATTGAAGATGATACATTTCGAAACTCGAGGAAATTCCGAGGATTGTTTCTTGATCGATGTTCATGTTTAACTACTTATCCTCTCGATTCTCATGTTTCTTATTAATCAAACTGGGTAATTAACGTACAAAAATCGATCGATTATCGTTATTTCTTTCAGAGTTTGACACGAAATATACAACATAAATTTCAAGCAGATATTAACTCACTAGTTTTATATGCTTTATACGTTATACCATTCCTCAAATTCCATGTTAGAACTATCCATTCCATAAGCAGGGGATTTCTATATACAGAGGCTATTCTAAATATGGACACAATTTTGTAAATTCGTATTTATTCAAGTACAAATTCAAAATTAAAAATTTACTACATGTTGATGAATGTTGAATATGCCCCCCTTTGTGCTGCACGGCAAACATCTAAAAGGCAGCCAAACTCGTCCTACACACGAGAAAGCATATCTTCTGTTTCTGAGTGCACCGTAGCCGTGATACGGTTCTTCAGATCAACCAGAGTTGCTGGTAGAGGCGGGACGTAAACAGAAGTGCTGGTAGAGGCGGGACGTAAGCAGAGTTGCTGGTAGGGGCGAAACGTAAACAGAGTTGCTGGTAGAGGTGGGACGTAAACAGAGTTGCTGATAGAGGCAGGACGTAAACAGAGGTGTTGGTAGAGGCGGGACGTAAACAGAGTTGCTGGTAGAGGCGGGANTATTTGATGAACTCTGCTGTTGTGTTCAGTATGCTTGCTAGTTCCATGTGGTTCATATAGCTAAAAATTCAACTGGGTTGTAGTTATTTAGCCATAAATTCAACTAATAGTCTTCACTCAGCCTAAAATAAATTCACAAGACCACGATTATTTAGACCTTGCCCTTCAAATAGACTGAATCAGGTGATGGCATCGTTTTTGTTTTCAGATTCCGTCTTTCAGTCGGTTCTTTTTTTCGTATCATGACTAAAGAAATTGAAAGAAATTATTTTACTCCTTATCTCGTTTTGAGAATCTCGTGAAAATAGGATTTATAGTAATTAGACTGTTAGGGGTGCGACATAAGCTTAACTTAATTAAATTAATTAAAACTTAATTTCATGACCATAACGCTATCGAACACGCGACATAGACCAGTCTAGTTTGATACCTATTGTAAATGAGATTACTAGCTCGAAGTTTAATTAAAGAGGAGACGTACTGTTGTTCATGCTACTTCTCTAGTTTTACCGATAACACTCAATATATAACACAATTTACTCGGTCCCGGAAAGCTAACGAATATTTTCTGTCACTGCATAGCCGACAACGTCATCACTTACTTCCACTTCGACTCAGTTTCCTATGCGGAGGCTCCTTATCTGGAATTTTTGGATCTGAGCGGCAACGGTATTGAGTTTATACCTCAAGATGCCTTCACCAACCCTAGCCTCTTGACAGTTCACCTCGCTCGGAACATCATTTACACTCTCTCTCAAAATAGCTTTTCAGGTGAGCTCCAAACTTCTCATTGTTGACGTTATAACGTAGAAAACAATTGTATTTATTTTTAAGATCCGAACTAGATTCCTTCGGAGATTAAGTAGTATAGAAGTGAGCGCACCAGCACTGGTATGACAAACGGGTTGGTTTGGTTTGAATTTATAATAACAAATGCTACGATCAATGATTTTTATCCATTTGCTGCTAATTAAACGTGTTGCTGCAGTTGATTTAATATATTCAACCCTGTTCCATCCCGATTTACCTTATTAAGTTATTATTAGCCCATTTTACTCCAATTTAGACTCACCACTTTAATTGTTGCATAGTTCGAGCCTGATTTACCTGCACAAATGATCGAGGTACTTAATTATTATTTAACAATTTGAACTAAGATGACCAGATAAGTTAAAACGACGATACTTTTTAAAATATATAATGGACTTAGATTTTTCAAGTACTTTAACTGTAACACAATTTAGGAGGAAAATGAGTGGTCAACGAAATATGCACTTTTTATTAAGTGCGTGTATTTGTATAACTTATAAATAAATAATAATTTTTCCTTCTCAACCTTCTGGAACCAAGTCCCTCAAAACACTTAATAAAGATTTTAAATGTATTCCCTTTTCATTTTAATGTATTCCCTAAATAATTCAATATTTACTTTCGAAATTTGTTTAACATCCAAATTTTATTTTCAACCATTCCATCCTAACTGTGTTGGTGCGTTTACAGGCAGGTTTAACTTCATTTATACGAATCGTACATTTTAGGTATACTTTGTTATCATAATAGAGTTTTTTTAATGGTATTTAGGTTTTATAAATTTTCTTTATTGCGGGCAGGTTTGATCAACGCAAAGCTTATCGACGTCTCGAACAACAGGCTCTCCGACCTGCAGGGCAATGCATTCAACATCCCAAATCATCAAACAAGTTCGGTCCTGCAAATCAACTTGTTCAACAACAGCATCAGATATATACCGTAAAATTTTCAACGAATGTATTAATTTACTTCAAAGGTTATACATCCACTCTCTTCAAATTAAAGACCAGAAAAATCTCATTGTCAAGCCTTAATCTCTGATTGAAGTTTCACCATCATGCATGTGTTCTCAGGGTAAACAGTGACATTGATAATGTACATATTTTTAATTATGTAAGCTCGAGACATAATTTTAACGCGAAATATATCATCACTTTAAGACTATTGTAGGAAACTATGACTCGTCTATGAGTACAGGAAAGTAAAGCTTTTCGTCATGTTTTTAATCGATTACAATAGAATATTATAATCGACAATAAAATAAAATGTAGTTCTGGGTTTTACCCATTGCACTCAACATGAAAGACTTTACTAATATTTCTTCACTAACAGCGCCTGATGAAATGCAGATAACTTGCTATCATTAATAAATTTTTAATTGAATTCACGTTAAATTAAATCCCTATATATTTGTCGGAAACTCTCAACAATTGGCATAACAACTTGCGCTCCGCATTCATAAACGCAAATTTTCAGAACGAATGCTTTCGGTGAACTGATCGACGTGCATGTAAACTTGAGCTTCAATCAACTGATGATGCTTGATGTCAACGTCTTCCAGCCCATCATCGTCAACAGCAACTACTTCGCCTTCTTCCAGGCGGACGGTGGGTACATGCCTTGATGTGTTCATCATATATAAATATTTATAAATATATCTATGTAGCGGTTTCAGCGTTTAGTAGGCCGCAGGTCTGTCGCCGGTTCTTTACATCGCAGACCATTAATAGCTAGTTGCGGTCTCGAGCTCGCAACTCTCTACTTTTCTTGACCAATTTTTGGTTAAATTTCAATTTGCTTTGTTTAACCGCCCGGGCTCCTCGCCGATTCTGACCAGCAACTGGTGCACAGATCTGGGATCGAACCCGCGCCTCACTGATCCAATCATGGTACTCGGAACTATAACCACTAGGCCACCCTGCCCAATAACAACACTAGTATAATCCGAGAAATAAGTTTTTGATATTATCATATTTTAGTTGTAAAATTTTAAATTTAAATTTAATCTGATCACTTGACTCTGTGCAGGTAATCCTATTTTATGCGACTGTAACATATTCTGGATTGTAATCGACCCACGAATAATGGAATGCTTCGACAATTTTCACTGTGCAAACAGACCCGAAACTCTCTACCAGCTAATGCCAGAAGACCTGCCTGGATGCTCATAGTTACTTGGTCTCTGTGGTAGACTAGTATCTTTCACGCTTTTTTTAGATTTCTATTTATAAAGAATTTTTGCATCGTGTTTATTCTTGAGTATAAATAAATCTTTTGTTACGTTTTTAAATAATATTTTGCTCTATCATTGGCTAATTTGTGTCAAATTCAACTGCAATTTGAAGTCAAAAAGACTGGCTGAACAATCAATACGAGAAATATCTCAGGGCGCAACAAGCCAGGCGACTGGCTTCTTGTGCCCTGGCAAACAAATGTATAATGTTGTATATGCAAAATTTAGCAAACAGATGCATATACTACATTGACTAAAGCAAGGCTCAGGGACATCTGCAGCAAAATTTTGACCTGTACAACGGAAAATACTTCTTGGCTTCAAAGCCTGCTGAATTGTACCGTAGTTAGAGTAAATTTATGAGGTAATTCAGGTAGTTTTTAAATAATACCATTTATTTCTGCAAATCGCACGGTAATTCGCCCAACCTCGTTCATTTACAACGGAAAATATTTCATCACGCTCGCTAACGTGGAATTTGAATTTCTGTTGAGAAATTTGTGGCTGGTTTTACGCCTTCGTTCTCTCCTAACTAATAAAATATGTTCAGAAAATACCGATTGAAGTCCGAACTCAGCTAAAACGAATAAACAGTCAATTCAATCTATATTATTATATTCAACAATTTTGCTTGCTAACTGAACGATTATAAACTTTGCCGTATCTTGCAAGAGAAAATTGAGGTAATGAAGCTAGTGAAATCTTACATTCTCGTGATTATTTACATATCGTAAAATTATATTCATATGATATGATTCACTCATATGATTAAATTTTTAAACTTGCCAAATAGAGACGAGTTCATTACTTAAATAACTTGCAATAAAGTAATATTTGACATTTTTTATTTATTGGGATATGGTCAAAGAAAATTGGCCTGTGGAAATGTTGATACCTCTAAAAGAATTTAATCCACTGTTTGAATTAACTTGCTATCACAATTCAACTCTCGAAGCAAAGGCGGGGTAACTGACACAATGGATATGTCGGTAATATTGAACAGATTCTTAAGGCTATATTGTTGCTCGTGACGATATAATCAGGTGTTAATATCATTGGAACACGGATGTAAATGGTATCGGAATAATGAATGTATTTTTTGTCGTATTTAAGGTGGTTAATTCCTATGCCCATGTAATTCTAATGATCCTATATGAGAAATTGTCTTATATCGGATTTTCTCGATAACATGCTAATACGAAGGTAACTATGGAAACGTGTTGAAATTACTCGTACAAATTTTCAATACATATCTCCAAAAAATGACTTAACGTCTGAAGTACAACTTGAACTTGATGCGAGGCTATAGTCAATTACACACACAAACTCTCAAGTTATCATGAACTCTGAAATACAGCATTCATGTAAGCTCCAACGAGGTTAGGTTGAAAAATTCAAACTAGAGGTAAATTTTATTATTCGTTTATTATGAGCATAATCAGAGATGTTTCAGAGAAGTGACTCATTTAATTTTCAAAATACTGTACTCTAGAAATGCGTATTAATTTAAACTGCGCATTGGTTTGAAGAACAAGAAAATATGTTTTTTAAACATCCTGAATAGCTTTTAAATTGAAACTAAATTTGACAATGACAGAGGCTTTTTACAGAATTTTTTACAGAAATACTAAGTCTTATTGAGTTTATGATAATGAAATAGCAAAAATTACATAACTGAGGGCTTGTTAATTTCGAAAGGTTGACAATTTGTTGTGTTACAGAGAGCTTATAACAATGGAAAGGATTTATGCGTTGATCGCATTAAATTTGTATAAAAGTACATTGATAAATTCGCATCCATTCGAGTTTCTCCAGGAAACCAGCGGTTTTTAGTGAATATCAAGTATGTTAACGTCATGTGTTTCATATTCAATCAATATAATAGCCTTTATACACGTTAAAACAACTGAAAACTACTATAACTATATATCTATGATCTCGACCTTCTCCCACCGAAGCCTCTACCAGCCTGAGGAACAGGTTCTTCTTCCTCAAGCGCCACAGAGTCGTCCACGGGAGTGGAGGCTGCGTCGGCCTGAATTGTAGACGCGGGCGGCCCTCTGCGCGATAGTCCTAACCTCTGCCTGCGGTCTTGCAGACTTTCCTGAGCAGGTTCTTTAGGTTCAGTAACAATAGCTTCGTCGACAATAGTTTCGGCATTTGCACCTCCGTCAACGACCGCGAACCCTCTCGAGTTGACTGGCCGAGTTCGGATACGCTGGGCAGTGGGTTTGTTTTGACTCCTAATTTGTCCACTCGTAGTCGGTGTTTCCTCTAATGTTGCAGGTGATTCAGCCTCAGCGGGCTTAGGAGCAACAGGTGCTTCCTCTCTAGTGGTTTCCAGAGGATCTATTAGGGGAAGAGCCTCTGTGTTCTCAGGTTCTTCTCCTGGAATGTTTTGAGCTCTTTGAAAACTGGGTCGACGTCTTTGTCCGGGTTTGACCCGCGGCTCTGCAGTAGTCGTTGTAGTTGGTATTGCCGGTTCATTTTTAATTTTCTGACCTTGATCTGCCTCGTAGTCATCGTAGTAATAGTCGTCATAATAGTCATAGCTTACAGGTGCGGCAGTTGTGGTCGAGGTTCTTATTCTTCGTCGTCGACCACCTCCTCCATTGACTCCGTCTTGCCTCGGTCGCTGGCGTCTCCTTCCCCCTGTCCCTCCCCGTCTAGGTCCACTTCCAGGCCTATTCCTCCTCTTGAGGGGCCTCACTGTAGTGGTTGTAGATGTTGTTGTAGTCTGGGCTGCGTCATCGTAGTAGTAATCATCGTAGTTCTCGTCAGCATAGTAGTCTGCGGTATCATAGTAGTCGTTAGCCGTGTCGACGGTGTCAGCCGTCTCCACCGGCGCGGGGTCCTTGGCACCTGCGTTATTTTTTGGCCCCACTCTGATTTGTGGACGACGTCTCTTGGGAAGATTTGGTTGTCTGTTCAAGGGCCGCAGAGGCCGAGGGCGCGGGCGGTCCAAGTAAACGATTTTCGGTGCTTGTGTTGTCGTCGTGGTCGTCACGTAGAGTTCCTCATTCCTGTGTACAAAATTACATCAGCACTCTTAGGAAACGCTCAGAGCTATTTATTATTCGATGCAATAAGTGAAAGTTTTGCTCACAGCTCCAAAATACGGTAGAAACAAGAAAACCATATCATACATTCGGAACGTTTGGGTTAATTACTGAGTCATAATTAGTTCACGTTTAACTTTATTTTAATGTACAAATATTCTTTGAATTTTTATTGAAAGCGTCAACATAATGCTATGGACATTGAAAAAACTTCTCATTTATTCGCCATATTTTGGAACCTAGCTTTACAAGACATTTATTTTTCTCAAAGCATGAGTTCAGGGAGTCTGAAAACTTGTATGGTAAAGCTGTCGATGAATATTGACCTTTATATGAGTTTAGTTGCATTCAACGACTCATGAGGCCAGTCAAAATTGAAAGAATGGTTTTCCTCATGGTTTGTTCAGAAAAAATGATTGTGCACAGAGAAAATAACAAAATTTATAATGCAAGCGTTAAGCGAGAAAATATATTATTCCTAATAACTCTGAGTTTCTTATTCAACTTCCAAGCTTGCAAAAATTCAGCTCCAGTATCTCCTTTAAAATGAATGAAAAATTTCCAATGGTATTTCGACCTATAGACGGTTTTGCATGGAACGTAATTGTGTTCACGTTATGTACTAGGTTCCAAGCATGAGTGTTACCTGGCATAATATCGCTCTGAGTTGTTACAGTCCACTTCGCTCGCGTAGTGGCAGATGAAGTTGACTTGGTCGAAGACGGTGTAGTTGGGGCACAGAAAGTCGTACCGCTGACTGAACAGGCAGTTGTAGTACACCTGCACAAATATACCAGGTGCTACATTAATAATAATATATTTGAAGGTAATAATTTCAGTTTAATTAAACTGGTACTGAATATCATTTTTCGTGACCAGCTATCGCACAGAGTTGGAATCGAACCCTCAACCTCTCTCCCTGGGATCGAACACCCGCTACAATCCTGGTACTCTGAACTCTGGCCACTTCTTTAAAGCTTGACATATTTTAATGTATTATTACTTATTATTGCTGATAATTGATGTTTTATGCTTTTTACAGATATTTTAGATTTTATAGCCTATATTTTACTCTAAAACCTTATAAAATGACAAAACATTCAGACTTCAGACCGAATTGCTGGTGCTCGTACGGAAGATGCTGCAGGGTGTGTCAAAAACTTCCCGATTGTTTGAGTTTCAAGAGGTACTGCCTCACAAGTAATGATGTTTTTGAACGAGAATGAGAAAAATCTTCAGCAAAGGACAGGCCTAGCCGTAAGTAAGAGTTGTCTGAGAGAGACCATCGGTCTTGAAATCAAATTGTTCGGGAAGACCATCCCTCTTAATGTTACAGCAGACCTCAATGAACACCTACAGAACCCAGTTAAAAAAAACTGCTCGTCGGGAGCTGTACGAAACTTGATTATATGGAAGCGCTGCAATTCGAAAACCACTGGTCTCAAATGGGTCTATGTTTGGAAGCTTCTGTTTCTCATTCAGTTTACCTCAAATTTAGTTAAGTAAAACTTCTTGAAAAGCTTCCAGCAATTTACTATTAACCATCTTTTTAAATGGGCTAATAATTCGTTGCCCTTACTTAACCACGTTTTAAGTTATTGTCGGTGTCCAATCTTAGAATATAATTATAATATATTTATAATAGAATGAGACGCCAGATTGACACCGGACATTATTGCTTGTGAAGGTGAGACGAACTTGATGAAGAACAAGCTTCATTACTGCTATGCGTCGCGAAAGACTAGTACAGAGCTGACAAACGTAATTTTGTTGATCTAATAATTAAATTTCTAAAACGTTTTCGGCGAGACAGTTGTATATCATATTTAAATAAATTATTTATTTCAAATCACTGCTGGGAATAAACCGCTCAAGCTTGAAGGGATCGTCGGGAATCTTTCATCAAACAAATCTTCATTTAAATGTAAAGTTACAATGATAATATTTTGGTTCCCGTCTGACCAACATGATTAAAATGTAAATCTTTTCTTCGAATCAACCATAAATTAATTACAATAGAGTATTTGTGAATTCTTACTGTGACCGTAAAGAAAAATAATCACAGCTGCAAAATGTTTGCAAATTTTACGAAACACGTTCACAATAAATTTGATTGATAAAATTATGTGAATCAATTAGGACAAAACACGGAATTTTAATCAATTACTTTTCATTCAAGCAAAGAAATATAAGTCGAACGAGATCATCTAAGCGCTAATCGTCACGAGAAGTGAAGTTGTCACCCGACAGAACAACCTACAGCTCCTGCACTAACCTGGCACTTGTGCGGCACCGACGCATAGAAGCCGTCGTGCCTGTCGTCGCACGTGAAGTTGTGCCCCTCTTTGGGGACGCGCTTGTAGAAGGGGTAGTTCGAGAGGTCATAGCCGATAAGCTCATGAGGAAGGTTGGGGTCATAGATGTAGTCTTTCTGGGGGTCTCCGGTCAGCGGAGGACCAGTTGGTTTATCGTCTTCCAAAGTTTCCGTTATGTTGGCGGCTGGGGCATCTACTGCCTCGGCTTTGTTCTTGTTTTTCTTCTTCTGGGCTTCGGCAGGAGCAAGAATTGCGAGTATTAGCACAGCCAGGCACACTCCTGCAGAATATTACAAGAGAAAGAAAACAATTCTGTTATTAAATATGATGTGTTGGTGCGTAAATGGCAAGTAGAAATTATTAGGATTAAAATCAAAGAAAAAAATTTACCCTCCGAAGCGAACATTTATTCAACAAATAACACCTTCAAGAATAGAAAAACCGTCTCAGCTGCTCTGGGTTCCGAATTTAGGTAAGAAAATCTTTGAATGAGTTGCGAAGCTGAACAGAATAGCTGGAAACATTTTTACAATATAATAGCCTAAGTCAATCGTTAATGAAATTAGCCATCACTGTTGTACGATGAGGCCTAAAAACAGCAGACAAGCTAGACAATATAAGCAATGGGCGCACGTGACCTTTTGACATATCATTGAAGGCAGTTATTCTCAGCTGGGAGTGGCGAGTTGCGAACAGGTTTACCGACCATCGTGGCCGCACAGACAGCTTTGAACGGCACCCTAGTGTGAAAAGGCGAATGCATGTTTTTGCAAGTGCCCTATGCAGGCATTCAGACATGAATGGTTTCTCGCTTGCGAGGAATAGCCACCATGGTCATTGTAATCGAGATTAGGCCATGTACTGATCTCATTGATTCTCGGAAAACCTCTTCTGAGCTCTACGTGTAAAGTAGCAGCAGCACGATGACTTAAATTGCATCTAATTCCAAATCAAAAGATGCGTGATGAAGGAAAAGAATTGGGGAAAAAGATCCGCCAGTAAGTAATATTTAAATTTGCATTCACAGTGATTTTTATGAAGCGTACTTCTGTAGTCTGGCAAGTAGAAGTTTTTAGTCCATGTTTCTTATGAATTTAATTTACACAGATTCAGCGCTGCCTTTCATATCATTACCTAATACTTTGAATATGATCACGACTCAGGTCTGCAACTATACAGGTCCATTACTGCTCTGGCGGCCGTTGCCATTACTGCTCTGGCCGCCGTTGCCATTATTGCTCTGGCGGCCGTTGCCATTACTGCTCTGGCTGCCGTTGCCATTATTGCTCTGGCTGCCGTTGCCATTACTGCTCTGGCTGCCGTTGCCATTACTGCTCTGGCTGTGTTTTTCGTCAAACAGCCTTCGCTTTGGGAGTACTAGAGAGAAATGTGTTTAGCTAGATCCAGAAAAATATTTAATCGTTCGTTGAAAATGTAATCCGTGCACATGCGGAGTTGCATTGCACTTAAATTCGTGGCAAAATTTCAATTTTGTGGATACTTCGTGATTACTAAACGACATGCGTGTGATGAGATTGAGATTTGTTCAATATATACTCCACGAGCACCACTTATGACGTCACCAAACATGGGTCAGCTATTCAGTTTGGCATTTATTATTCTCGACGTGTTTCCCTTTCTTGCCTATCAAAATTCTTTGGCGGTTACTACAGATTCAAGATTAAAATGGAAGTGCACAAACATTACGCACATGTCCATGCCTCTCATAAGTTACACATGTTTAAATATTTCATGTTTTAGCCTCTAGAGTGACTAGACGAAGCTGCAGAAACACTCCCAGCAACACGAACTCCTCGGATGTTCACAGCGCTAGTCTCGCAGCAGACAAACACCGATCGTTTTAGGCGCGACTGAGCGAATGCTTTCACTGGTTCACAGCTTATAGGTGCTCCAGGGAGTAGCGACTTGTTCCAGCAGACACTACACTTGCCGTCTACCGTTGCTTGCTGATATCTGTACAGATATGTATGACTCGACTGAAACAACGTCGTGTGAGATTTCAATGGTTGTAAGCCGGTGTAAGATTCTTAATACACATACGCTATGTATTTTTAATTCTGATTTTATTATTTATAACACGCGAAATAACCAAACCCACATTATTTTAGCTCAAAATTTTAGAGAAAATAATGCCGTTTTAAGTAGATACGCTATGCATTTTTAATTTTCATTTTAATATTTCTAACACGGCAATTACAGCCGATCGGCTATTTTTTTTATCGGCTATTACAGCCGATTTCAGCAGCAATCCACTCAGACGTGTAGGCCTGTCTATCCTTTATATGCTGGTCTAGCATAGCAATCCAAAATGGTACAACAGCTCTAGGAACGAAATTCTTTACAACTTTGAATTTAGCGCCCAAGTGCTATTTCTATCTGCCCTAAATAAAGATGTCCCAAAACTATCCACTATCGACCTATCACTGGTATAGTTCATATTACTTTAGATTAAGCATCTACTGAGGTTTCTATTTAGAAAGTACGATTGAAAATGTCTCTGAATTGCTATCCACATGAAACAATTTTTCGAGCATTATGAATTCTCAATACAGACTGACATCCAGGAAGAATATTGGCTCAAGAGGAAGTGGGAACAATTCCAAAAAGTTTCTGTTGTTTGTTTCGCATGAGCTGAGTCGCTGTGAGAACTTTCTCTGTCTACCGCAGCGCACGACATAAGCTCTCTCCGCAGTCGTGACAGCTGCTCTTGTTCCCGTGAGCCAGGCTGGACAGCGAACTGAGAGTGGACTGATGATCCGTTATTATGTTTAAATACAGGCACATCTTGTTCAAATACTCTTAATACGCGCTTATACGCAACGCAAAATGCATTATTAGTGAGACACAGCTCCTACAATCTCTTATCTATATTTAGTTCAGTGTAATATTTGTTCACAACGTTGGTAAAACACATGATTAAGTGCATTGAGATTGTGTTGCTCCCTATAAATAGCCTGGATTAGAGTATTTGCAAGGCGGTTGAAATCAAACATGATCAGGGTTAGGAGACGGGTAGGAATAAAATATGTTGAATTTTCACTAGAGGTATAAGCCAAATTCAAAGTGGCTTAGAACTGGATGAAAATGATTGCCGAATGTAAACCGTGCTTTTGAATTTTAAGCCGAGCTTTTCAGAAGCGGTACTTTCAAATCTTCTGATATAATGCTATGGGAATATTTTGAACGAGTTCATTTCATAAGAAAAACGAAATCGAGCTATGGACGTTAATGAAAATTGAGGCACATGTCAGGCATTTCATGCTGTGTAAACTTGTTCGTCAATGCCTTAGCAGTACAAGTAAGAGAATGCAATGCGTGATTAATAAGCACGATATCTCCCTGCAGTTATGATCAAGCAAGAAAGAAAACCGTCTTAGGTTCTCTAGCTTTGAGAAGCAGAAAGGAAAGCAAGAAAGCAACAGTCAAGCAAAATCGCGTCACCTGCAGGATATAGAAACAACGACGCGCTGTTCAGGGTCGACGTACTTACGTGGTAAAAAGGAAAACGAATAAGCAATCTTGCATTTTAATTTTCTGAGGACTTTTCATGGTATCGAATTTTTTGTTAGCAAAAATCCTCTACCAACTCCGGCTTTCAACCACTGAGATCTCACACGACGTTGTTACTGCCGAGTCATTGCATGAGTTTACAGCCTCAGCCGGACCACATCTTCTAAAATAATCGTGATTTGCAAGACTATTTTCATTCAAATACGCGTTTTTACGTGAGATTCCTCATTTAAACTTTGATATTGAGAATAATTAACCTGAGTTAATCAAAATATGGAAAAAAATTCAAGGAAGTAAAAATAATTTTCATAGAAGCAATTTTAAAGAAGATAAATTACATCTATCAGATGTGCAGCATTGATTGAATTCGTTTTTGTAGATCAGATAAAAACTTGGAGGTGATCAAGGAAGCGCGGAGGCAGCGTTATGGCCTGCGGCCGCCTGCTGCTCAGCGACTAGCCTGCGGCAGCCACACTGCAGGGGCACTAGACCTGCACTGACTGCAGGGCACTAGACCTGCACTGACTGCAGGGCACTAGACCTGCACTGACTGCAGGGGCACTAGACCTGCACTGACTGCAGGGCACTAGACCTGCACTGACTGCAGGGCACTAGACCTGCACTGACTGCAGGGGCACTAGACCTGCACTGACTGCAGAGGCACTAGACCTGCACTGACTGCAGGACACTAGACCTGCACTGACTGCAGGGGCACTAGAGACTAGACCTGTCAGCTAATATATTGTCTAGTATGTAAGGAATGTTTTTAGAATAAAATATTTCGTAACGTATTTTTGTGTATTCAAGTTTAAGTTCGAAGGTGTGAATGTAATTCAGCTGGGAATTCTCTGGATTAACTATAAACAATATTTATAGCTTGGCTGGGGTAGCGGGGAGATGAGGACAGTTTTGTACAAATTGCCCAGCTTGATAACGCAGCATTTCGCGCACATAAAACTTGTTATCGTTTTTCGTTTACCAAATTCACCTAGTGTCGATACAGGAAGAAAATACGTTGATAACACAAGAAGATCGTAGTAATTGCAAATTAAAAATAGCATAAATAGTTTTATTCGAATATTGTGAAAAGCATGACAAATTGTATAAAATTCGAGTTTCCATTTTAATTTTCTATTATCTCGGCCCAGTTTGTTATTTCAGCTCGTGCGCTGGTGCATAGTTGTTTAAAAATAAATAAAAGGCTTGAACATACGAGAAAAGTTGCAATCCCACATACACTCCTCCTCCCCCCACGCACCTGTGGCGAAACGCCTGCCCAGGCGCGGGTAACCGCCGCTGCCGCTCATCGCTGCCCTCGGTGTCGTCCTGTAGGGTTACCAAGTGCGTCATTATGTTCAGAAATGTTATGGATAAATATAACAATATACAATTATGATCAGAACTATTCATGAAACATGGAAATACACGGATATGTTCATACATATTCATGAACAAACATAAGAATAATATGAGTTTAAAAATTTCCTTTTAAAGGCAACACTTCCAAAGAGGCCAGTGTCTCCGATATTACACATGTACATTAAATTGCTAATTTTATTTGTAAATATCGAAAAAAATTAATTTTTTATAAATTGATTTTTTTAATTTTTAATTTTATTTATTCTGTCATTTGATTCAAGCATTGTCTCCAACTTTACGTAAGTGTGCAAAATTTCAGATCGATTGGACAATTAGATGTGTGTTAAATATTGATTAGGAGATTTGTAGCAGACAAACTAACAAATAAGAATTGACGTTAAAGAGAAGTGTTGTAATATAGTACGACTATAATCATAAATATTTATGAACCAACTGAAAAGTATGCAATAACGATCAGAAATATCTATGAACCAACATTAGAATGTAAGAATATGTTCAGAAAAATTTATCAAGATTTTAATCGTTCTACTACGCTAAATTATTTACGATTATTTAATCAAGATTTTACTCGTTCTACAAGACTAAGTTATTTCCTGCTATATTATCAAGATTTTATCTTGACCCGGCAACGTATCATGTTACTCCCGCCATTTGACCTCTCATTGTGACCTCTGGCATGTTACTCCCGCTATTTGACCTCTCGTTGTAACCCCTGGCATATGATTTGCTTACTAGGTTACACTTGTTAAATGGCCTCTGTCATGCGATACCATCATGTTACTCCCATCATGTGACTTCGGCCATGTGAACCACGTCATGTGACAATCGATGTGCACCGTTCATTAATTTGTTACATTTAATCGATTGATTAATAAACAACCGTTTGGTTGTTTTCAGTCGATTATGCTTTTCTTTGGTCTCACTGAATTAAATTGTTGAGATAAAAATAGCTGGTACTATTTCAAAAGTGCACACCTTTCGATGGCTTATTCATACAAAAAGAAACGTCCACGTGTCGCAGGAATCAAAATTCACATTCATCGACCTCTCGCTAGTCGCATGCACATCTGACCCAAATGCGTCGGGGCTAAGTTTTTCTTGTCATACATGAGCTCTTGAAATCAAGGTCTACCATTATTTTTTGAGGGCTCCTAATGACGACGATGAACTTGACAAACAGTTATAACGACGCGCTGCTTTTTAGCTGAAGTAACTACCTCGGCATCGCGTCTCTACAACGTTCTTCGAGGACCAGTAATGACTGCACGCTAATTATTTTAACGGTGTCTTCTCTGAGCAAATGGCCGAGTACTACCCTATTTTTGATACTTCAAAAAATGCACTCTATCGATGGCAATCGGTAAAGAATAAAGTAATATTATATGTTAACAACTGCAACATTCAAACATTTCAAGAAATTTATTTTTCATGTTACCTAAAATTAAATATTTATGAACACCCGAAGAACGTACAATAAATAGGTTTCCGACCGAGTCACTCATAGAAACAGGTGTGAGAGCGAACCAATGAATGTAATTGAAGAGTCAATAAATAAAATAAATCATGACACCAAAGGCCATTGCCAAACCACGTATGATGGAACCAAGAACTCGAACAATTCGACGCCTATTTCTTCGCATCCGCGTTTATGGCTCGTCTCGAGCCCTGGCTGGTACGAGCAGTTCAACTACTAATATGCTGTGAAAAGAGTAAAAATTTAACCCTTCTTGTATGAGAGAATTAATGTACCTTTTTTGAGATCAGCGTCGAAAAAATAAAGTGGTTTACAATTAGGAGATCCCGCGCAACACTCGCGTTGTTTTTGTTAGAAGCGAAGTGCACTACCGCGTCAGGAAGCCAACGTCGCACCTGAAGGCTATACGTCAAACACAACTGCTGGACTTCAATCATGAAAGGTCATGATTGAAGCCATGATACTTACAGCCAATTTCAGCAGTGGCATGGCTTCAAGGGTGCAATAGTATACCATCAATTAAAAAAAGATAACTCAGTACTCACTGCAGTGAGTGACAGAGAGCGCATTTTCCCGTCGACGTAAGCTTGAAGTCAAGGACGAACAGACGGAGGGACGGACGGACGGACATGGCGAGCACAATAGTGCATTTTTTCCATAAATGAGAAAATGCGCTAATAATGTTGGTGCAATAACTTTTTATATAAATTCATATATAAAAAAGTAGAGCATCTTTCAATCCTTCAATCTAGCTCTAAAATTATTCCACTCTTCACTTTTTGACAAATGTAAAAATTACATCAATGCCTCCGTGAAGGGGAGCATACACATAAAATTATGAAAATAAAAGCGTCATCAAAAGCGAAGTGACTGTTAGCTTCTTGGCCCTAGCTCACGCTACGAAGTGAGTGTGAAGTGACGGAGGCTACAGAACACGTCAAGGCTGCTCGGGCGCTGCTACTTTCAACGCGTTACGTATGCAGGATACGCGGCGGCATGTGGCCACATTACTGACTGACCGCTGGGCGTGTCGGGACATGAACCTGCGTCGGGGATGTGGCAAATGTGTAGAAATGTGTGAAATGAGGCACGATTAGTGTAGCTAAACAATGTTATAGGAGAGGTTCGGGGTTGTATGTTAAAAAATGTAACTCAGTACTCACTGCAGTGAGTGACACAGAGCGCATTTTCTCATCGACGAAAACTTGATGTCGCGGACGGACGGACAGACAGACAGACGGACATGGCAAGCACAATAGTGCACTTTTTCCATAAATGAGAAAATGCGCTAAAAAGGCGCAATGAGGAGGCCAAAACCAAAATGAAAATTCAAGCAGCGATTTTCATCTCATTGCTTCAATTCTTTTCTCTCTTCCCTCACGCAAATATAAGTGAAATGTTTGAATGGATTCGAATCTTCCTATTTAAATGGACAATTGACATTAATTTTGACGTACGTTTTCGAACACAATATTTGAACACAACAAAATGCGTGCAAAATATTTTTAGGTAAATGTATTTACGTCAAGCTGAACGAAAATTTTTTAAATAAGACAATTCCCAGCGTAACGGCTGATGATAGTGGAATGATATTTAAAAGTACAAATGGAATAAAAATATTCTAGTCTATGTTCCAAGAATAAATAAACTCAGCGTAAACGATATCAAGTTATCTCGATTAATGTAACTCGGATAAAGTGCACTACTCTACTAAATAAAGAAGCAATTGTCGACTAATTAAAACGTCACATTTATTAACGCGTGTAAAACATTTTAAACCATAAATCCTCGTATAACTTTCGTACCTACAGATCGTGGCTACAATTACATGGATATGAACCAACACTTTCATATAATGCAGGTGTTACAGTGGTGCCCATACGCACGAACTTGTTCCATTCCGTGGTTAATTTCGGATACCAATCAGTGCATGTGTACCGACATGAAAACCAAAAACATCAACACAAAGCGCACAACCTTAATATGAAGCAAACTCTTTATGGTGCGAAAAGCGCTAGATGCTTTTACGGCGAGATGAACTGGCAAGATAGACCTGAGAGAGAGCCTGAAGCCGAAGCAGGAAACGGGTCACGAGAACCAGAGAAAAGGCATCGTCAAGTTCGTGCATATGGACGAGTTATTACCAAATTCACGATTCGTAACTCAAATAGTTTTTAAAATTCATTGGAATATATGAGCAGCGGTTTTAGTGTACCTAGGTTGGCTACATCATTTATAACAGAAGACCCAATTAAATGTCTAGGTCGTTTCTTCTAAGCTTTAGGCGCAGACGACTAATTGTAGGTCAAACTTTTATATCAAATTTATCGTGTGCTTGCCAATAGTTTCAAAAAAGATGAATTATGCTACTCATAATTACAATTAAAAAAGATAAATATTCACATTTCATGGTATAATGGCGTGGACAATCTAACAATTAGACTTACATGAATTACATCAATTTCAAATAATTGAAGACTGCATGCTAAGTATATATGAAACGATATCTTCATCGTGACTGAACTATTCGCACACATTTGACTGCATGTTTTATACATTTCGATCGCATTAATTTAATTTATTCGAATAAAGGGGAGCAGAGCAGTTGATTTTAACGGTAACTGTAAGGACTAGTTCTTGAAGAGCCTACAGACTGCTTGATGACTCACAAAAGTTGACTTATTTTTAAGTCTCTCGTGTGGCAATTTTTAAGAAGAGAAAAAAGTAAGAAGCTTTTTACGACTCGATCGTCTAGTCAAATAAGGAGACGTTTGGGCATCACAAAAAAACGTGCTTATCCACGTCCAAAATTGCGCAAGATAGCAGCGCGCCAGACAAACTGCCGCACAATTCAGCCAGTCAGCGTACTATACTATTGGAAATTAAAAGAGATGAATATCGGCGCAAGCTCGCACAATACCCTGCACCATATATACAATAGTGTCTGTAACATATGCTATGCAGAGCAAACACTCTGCACAAGCTTACACTATACCCTGCACCATATATAGTGTCTGTAACATGTGCAGAGCAAACACTCTGCACAACTTCACACAATACCCTGCACAATATTGTCGTTACCATAATTAGAGCAACATACAATAGGGCTCAAAGAGTTTCAAATAATTCATTGTATAATAAATGTTACCAATGAACTCAAATCCTACAGCTAGGCCCAGTAGTTGGGCTGAAACTCTCAGGATGACCTTTTATCGTCAGTTGGGCAAAATTTGCCCTCATTGACATATATATGATTTCATAGCTCGTAACGGCTCTAGTGCATATCAATGCACGATTTGCATTGCAAATCAATGCATGCATTTTTCTCAATCTATTAGACCTGAAATAAGTTACATTTAATCTGATCTGAATTCGAAATGTGAAACATTCATTGACAGAAGCAATTTATAAGACGGCGTTAATTCGAATGCCGAAATAATCATAGAACCACGAATTTTCTGCTTATTTTCTCAACCCCAACCGAATATGATTTTAACATCAGTCAGCTTCCCAGTTTGATTCTCTGAGTAGAGATGTTATCTTCCCTCTTTTTATCGCGCTAATGTAATACGTCTCAAGTACATAGCTTTAAATAGGTGGGATGATAATGATCAAGTCGTACCAATGGAATTGGAATACTTAAGTCTCATATATTTTAACAATATTTATGCGTAGAAAGGAGATTTTGTTCATACAATTTCATGTCCGGTATTTGGGGTTGAATTTTTAATTTCTTAGTTAGAGATATGCCCGTGATGAGAGGCCATGGGAATTAACGAGTTTGGTGCTCGATATAAGTAGTATTATTTTAATGAATACTCACTAGGGAACGATGATTAATAACAACGTGAAGGTTGCCTTTGACGCAGTCTTAGGCTTGAAAGAAATCGTCGAGAAACATAAAATCAATATACCACAGAGAGATTTGAAAATATTGATCATTGCAAAATAAATTAATACAAGTTTATTAAGTATTATTATATGCATAAAAAAATTATTTTTACTGATTTTGGGGGATTTGGCACTGAGTTTGAACAGAGGGTAGAGATCACCGAGTTTAGCGATTCAATAGTTGAACGATACTGTTTTACTTATAAATCAATTTTAATATCTACTCATAGTTCAATCTGAACAAATTCAGCATCGAATTAAATTCATAAATTTTTAATATAGCGAAAACTAGTTGCTGTAGAAGTCATGAATTTTGACATGACCCCACTCGACCCCACATGACCCCCAGTCCAATTTGGTCATTTCTGCACCTATACCCAGCCACAACCACCACTAGTCTACTTTAGGGGGCGACACATAAACGCTGTGAAAAGAACTATGTTCTCCAGTACATGTAAACATTTTCACCCATTAACCAGCATCGCCTTTTGTTGATAGATGAATTTAAAGTTGAAGAAAGTATGAAACATTAAAATTCTTAGTCATTTAAATATCACAGAAGACACAAAGGAATAGAAATATTTAAAACTGAATGTGTTTGGTTAGGTTTATTAATGCACAGCTTAAATGAACATCGACTGTCTGGCAGTTCAATCGTTGGTCACGTTTCCATCGGCTCGACTCTGTATTGTGGAGTAACAAATTTCCGTAAAGAGTGGCTTGTTGCATTCGTACTCGTGGTGGTGCTCGTGACAATTTACCTGTAAGACGTGATGTCTTGGAGTATATTGGAAAACACGGGCGACAGTGATGATAGCTTGGGAGTTCCTCAACGACGACGCACTGCAGCTTCTGCGTCTTTTGATGAAACGATAGAATGAAGCTCAGCAATGTACCTTATTCGATCATTTTAGCGAAAGTGATTTCCAACGTTTACTGCCAGGTCACCTAGAACTATTGCACATGTCTGGCACGATCAACTGCACGGCACTGGTAACGGCAATGGACTGGTTGGAGGCGCTGCTGGAAATCGCGGTGAAGGCAGCCACTGAACCTTGAAGCGCATAGGCAAGCGAGCAACTCGTGCAGCATCGTGCGTCTGGCAACTATTTGCTCTCTCGCGACCCTTTGATTGTTGTACATTAACCTTCAGTTTAGAGGCAACAGAACCATAATTGTTCATGAACTTTTCAACTTGAGTATTCTTCGATATTCTCTTTAACCCTTTCGTGACTGACGGGAACTACTAGATATAGCAGTTGCATTGACGACAGTAGATGTATCCCAGATGAAAGGATTAAAATCAGTGTCAATAACTCACACTATCATTCTAGGACTTCATTGAAAAACAATTTTATTTCATATTCAGTCGCAAGTTTAGGTACTATAGCTTTTACATCACTTGCTCGTTTTCCAGGTTAAGTAGCAAAATTCGTGAGATAGCTGCAGAGTTGAAGTAATTTCATAAAAATAAAATTAAAATACTCACACGCTTGGATTGGAGAAAATTTGCACAGCCTTTTGGCGTGAGACTCCTGGAGTTGGACAACCTGCGGGCACTGGGTTGCCTCCAGGTTCACAATGCAATTTTAAACGAGTAGGAGACAGAGGACGAGATTTAGATAGTAAGGTTAGTCACGCGGGCGGAGAATCTGGCAGCAGGAGATACGGAGTGCAGGGACTGGCTGCGTTGTGGGGTTGTTCACCTTGGCATGGCGTCCTGCATATGCATTCTCAAACATTCCTTGTATGAGTGAGCATCCAACGATGCTTGACAGAATACTTTGGATTTAATTGACAGGTAAGGATTAGTTGATGAGACATGCATTAATTCTATTTTGATGTACACTTTCATAGTTACACAGCTTACACTACTGGCTGGCTACGTTGCTCAGATGGTCAAGTAGCGCCATGCAAATTTTGGCCACTTTACTTCACTGGAGCAATCATCTTTAGGCTAGGTTAGGTTAGGTTAGGCAATTTTAGTTCTGGAATGTTCACGGTATTATCTGCTCTAACAGTTCCTCAAATTTCGGTTAATCGATCAATTAATCAATGCTTCTATTCTAAACTAAACTCGACACTGTAAATCAGACACTGAATTTACCACACATGTCAAACTTGAGCTCTACTTACCCATTTCCGATCTTTGGAAACATCAATTGGTATGCGCCTCCGCGGCCCTGGACTCCGCTAGTCCCTAACCTTCCTCATTCGAGGCACACCAGCGATTCTTCGTATCGTCACACCAGAAGTTTTGGTCTGCATTATAAATAATAAGGCGACATCTAACGCCTGCTCGCCCCTGCCACTATAATAGCTCGATCCACCTGAGGCAAAAAGCGACCGCCCTTTTGACGAATATTTTGAACGATTAGACTTGCAGTGCCGCCAACTTACGTCTAGTATCCCGTTGCAAGGACAAGAAGAAAAAATTAGCTATAAATATGATCACAATTATTGTTGCTGCTCGAATTTTGCAATCAAACGAAAACTGGATTTAATAGAACTAAAACTGCCAGTTCAACTGATAATAAGAGATAATTGTTTTTTTATTATTATATTTATTATAGAGGATGAGGACTGAGCTGGATGACGACTGAGCTGGATGAGGACTGAGCTGGATGAGGACTGAGCTGGATGAGGACAGAGCTGGATGAGGACTGAGCTGGATTAGAATAGAATAGAATAGAAGTGTCGGCGTTGAAGAAATAGGCCTACGGCCTGTTGCCGATTCTTGAACTTTTCGTGACTTGATTCACAAGGGATCAGGCCTTTGGAACCCGATCTTTCTAAAGCTGACGATTGATTGAGATAGCTGCTGGACTTATTGCCTGCTCCGTAATTTGCTAGGCATTTTAAGACTGAACATATGCTCCTGCATAGCTTCGTCTAGTCTGTTTTTGAAGATGTTCATACTCGGAGCTTCAACGATGNGCCCAACAATGTACCTTATTCGATCATTTTAGCGAAAGTGATTTCCAGCGTTTACTGCCAGGTCACCTAGAACTATTGCACATGTCTGGCACGATCAACTGCACGGCACTGGTAACGGCAATGGACTGGTTGGAGGCGCTGCTGGAAATCGCGGTGAAGGCAGCCACTGAACCTTGAAGCGCATAGCAAGCGAGCAACTCTTGCAGCATCGTGCGTCTGGCAACTATTTGCTCTCTCGCGACCCTTTGATTGTTGTACATTAACCTTCAGTTTAGAGGCAACAGAACCATAATTGTTCATGAACTTTTCAACTTGAATATTCTTCGATATTCACTTTAACCCTTTCGTGACTGACGGGAACCACTAGATACGAATAGCATTGACGACATTATATGTCTCCCAGAAGAAAAGATTAAAATAAATGTCAATAACTCACACTATCATTCTAGGACTTCATTGAAAAACAATTTTATTTCATATTCAGTCGCAAGTTTAGGTACTATAGCTTTTACATCACTTGCTCGTTTTCCAGGTTAAGTAGCAAAATTCGTGAGATAGCTGCAGAGTTGAAGTAATTTCATAAAAATAAAATTAAAATACTCACACGCTTGGATTGGAGAAAATTTGCACAGCCTTTAGGCGTGAGACTCCTGGAGTAGGACAACCTGCGGGCACTGGGCTTGCCTCCAGGTTCACAATGCAATTTTAAACGAGTAGGAGACAGAGGACGAGATTTAGATAGTAAGGTTAGTCACGCGGGCGGAGAATCTGGCAGCAGGAGATACGGAGTGCAGGGACTGGCTGCGTGGTGGGGTTGTTCACCTTGGCATGGCGTCCTGCATATGCATTCTCAAACATTCCTTGTATGAGTGAGCATCCAACGATGCTTGACAGAATACTTTGGATTTAATTGACAGGTAAGGATTAGTTGATGAGACATGCATTAATTCTATTTTGATGTACACTTTCATAGTTACACAGCTTACACTACTGGCTACGTTGCTCAGATGGTCAAGTAGCGCCATGCAAATTTTGGCCACTTTACTTCACTGGAGCAATCATCTTTAGGCTAGGTTAGGTTAGGTTAGGCAATTTTAGTTCTGGAATGTTCACGGTATTATCTGCTCTAACAGTTCCTCAAATTTCGGTTAATCGATCAGTTAATCAATGCTTCTATTCTAAACTAAACTCGACACTGTAAATCAGACACTGAATTTACCACTCATGTCAAACTTGGGCTCTACTTACCCATTTCCGATCATTGGAAACAACAATTGGTATGCGCCTCCGCGGCCCTGGACTCCGCTAGTCTCTAACCTTCCTCATTCGAGGAACACCAGCAATTCTTCGTATCGTCACACCAGAAGTTTTGGTCTGCATTATTAATAAGAAGGCGACATCTAACGCCTGCTCGCCCCTGCCACTATAATAGCTCGATCCACCTGAGGCAAAAAGCGACCGCCCTTTTGACGAATATTTTGAACGATTAGACTTGCAGTGCCGCCAACTTATGCCTAGTATCCAGTTGCAAGGACAAGAAGAAAAAAATTTAGCTATAAATATGATCTGATTGAGCTGGATGAGGATTGAGCTGGATGAGGATTGAGCTGGATGAGGACTGAGCTGGATGATGATTGAGCTGGATGAGGATTGAGCTGGATGATGACTGAGCTGGATGAGGACTGAGCTGGCTGAGGATTGAGCTGGATGAGGATTTAGCTGGATGAGGATTGAGCTGGATGAGGACTGAGCTGGATGAGGACTGAGCTGGATGAGGATTGAGCTGGATGAAGGCTGAGCTGGCTGAAGACTATGCTGGATGAGGACGCTGTCGTATGAGGACAGAGCTGGATGAAGTCTAACTTGGATGATCACTGAGCTGGATGAGAACGTGCTGGGACTAGGACGTGCAGGGTAATAACTACTATATATTGGTCTTTTATTTATTTATATTTATTTTTTTAACCTGGAATTAAAGTCTACCGACAAATAAGTCGGTAGACTTGGATGAGGACTCGCACATAAAACTCTACGGAAACTCGGACTGACAATCATAATATTTCAAAGTTTTTTGCCTTAAAAACCATCACCACTAAAACTCGTCACATATGAGCACAAGTAAGTTATCAGAGAAAATTTCGAATTCCTGAATTTGCCAGAGTTTGGAATCAATTTGAAATGTTTTTTAGATTAAATTTCTAAGCTGGTCTAATTTTAAAATGTACTCGAATCAGTAATCATCAAATAAATTTCAGACCTTGAGAACAATTTGGTTTCATTGAGCTTAAAATGATAGTTTTTGCTTAAATCCTACTCAGTATTAAAATAAATACTAAAAGTCATACGGTATGCATCGTCATACGCGGTGCTACGACGCTTCAAAACTGACGATAGCCTCGGCCCCTGCCATCAACGATGAGTCTCTGTCTCAACAATTAAATGTAAATATTAAGAAAAATTCCGTCAATTTTTATCCGGTTTCCCCGAACTTGCCCGCAAACTTTGGAATTCGTGCATCTTCATGCCGTGCGATGTTACATTTGATCTCCGTTTTACATAAAGGATAAACCGGACATTTTTAGCACGTTATCCACGCATACTTCAGTTCACTTACAATTGGTTCCTCTTTAATCAAGTAGCCAACTTCTAATCTACATTGCTACACGTATTGCATTGTCATATTTTTTATACTGGGCCTCTTAATCGTTGTAGTTGGGAAGAAGTTGACGGTGGAAAAGATGTGAAATGGACGAAAAAATGTGCAGTAGACATTAAAGATACCAACGGTCCTTTAGTCAGTCAAGCGTCACCAAAAAGATGTTAAATTATCCGCGTGAACCGATGCGATTTAACGAATTTTTACATACTAATCATTTGTCATGAACTGACTTCGAATTTTCGAATTTTATCCAAAGACAGAAGCACACTAATGTAGGAAGAAGTTAAACAAAGAACACTTTTATAAAATTTTTATTTAAATAACAAGTTTATATACAAAGACAATATATACAAAATACGTTCAGGATTAATTAAAGAATCGACGTACACTAATAACGCAAGTTTAATTATAATCACAGCCTTATATGCAAGTCCTAATGTCACTTAAGCAATAATCAAAAGCACCAAGTGTATTACTTGATCAGTTTAACTGACGCGAATTTGAAACCAGTTTTACTACCGTTTGATATGCAGTTACGCTACTGAGATCACTGCCTCCTAATCCAGATGTTCACTCCTTATCCTATTATCTATATTCTTACTAATAAATTTTGATCGTAAGTCATCTACAGAAGTAGGACCGGCTAATAAACATTATCCTGAGCAATTCTCGATCACGAGATAATCAATGGTCATTTTAAGATCAAAGTTATTCTTTAAATAAATTAAAAAGACTCATTTGAATACAACTCCTGGAAAATATTATACCCGGAATTAGACAGAGGTGTAATAGAGATTGTTTTGTTCTGCGAATGTAGAAATAAGGCAAAAATTAATACTGAGTATCTTAATACTTGTACTAATATAGTACAAGTATAGTACTATATTAGTAGTACTACTATATATAGTATATATAGCACTAATAGTAATATTTTTATACTAAGTACCTTGTGGATCCGAGATACCATGGCTGCGATCTACCGTGAGAGATGTGATGCCGGGATTACAGGTAGATTAATGATGAGAGGGTCGCAAGATTACAAGGACTAGAAGATTCTATAGCATGGCGACAAGAAAACAATTATATTCAATATAAAGAAAGCGTTTAAATACACTAATTTTTTTAAAAAGGCATTTTAATATAGTATAAGTTACGAAATGAGTAAAAGTAAATGATATTGAAACATGAAATTTAATTCAATGCCAGTAGATAATTAAATATAATTTAAATTTGATTGAACATTTTGATAATGCAATCAGAACATCGTTTTTAGTTTCGGAGCTCTTCTACTCGATGCCTGCTTTAATGACGATGAGGACGGTACCTCTGGGCCAGGTTATTGACAACAGCAGCAGCGGAACGAACTCCATTTCTGATGACGCCAGGAAGTCTTGGAACAACCTTCCTGGGTGCATGATGTCGAGAATTTGTAGTGATGGACCAAGCAGGTATACTTCCTTTGCTATTTTTGCCGAACCTTTGTCGCATTTTCTCAAAATTTGTCTTTGCTTTGGCGAGCTTTTCCTCCTTGAAGACGGCCCCAGCCTCAGCCCCTTGCTTGATGATGTTTTTCATTGTATGGATCAAGTTGTTCTTGTTTGCCTGACTTGCAGATCCATTTCCTGGAAATTGATCAACTAAATTTAATGCAATAAAAATGATAAAACAAAATTATTTTACCAAATGTGACTTGATGACCTGTAAAAAAAAAATCGTGAAAAAAGTAACTTGCCATCAAGAGAAAACAAGGTAAAGTTCTTTTAAGTTGGATCAAGTAAGATTCGAAGCGGAAAACGTATGATTAAATTTAACTGAAATTTAGGAACTGAAAGATGCTAAAGTTTAGTAAATAACATTGGAGAATAAGCAAGCAATTTCACTTCCAGAAGGAATCCAATAAAAAGAAATACTAACCGTAATTGAAGGGTTCACTCCTGGCAGCTGCCGGTTTTCTGACTTGAACATAGTATGGTGCGGGTGGTGCGTAAGTCATCTTGGATCTGCCGGTGGTCATTGGAGAAAACACAGGCTTTGTTTGATGATTAAATGGGGGATTGAAAGCGGGTGCTGGATTCTGGCTTGGAAATTTTGTTTCGGAAAGGCCTCGCAATTGTTCGGATTCGATCTGACCAGAGAATTGCTTCGTCGCAGCCGCATTCGTTTCGAAGGGAGGCTGAAGGAGCAAATTATTTCCGTGTGAAAGACGAACTCTCCTGGCAGTCGGAACTTCTTCATGATAGTGAGTTAGATAGGGAACCCTAAGTGTAGTTGTCATTGTACGCTGCCGAACGGGTGCAGGAGTAGACATTAGATGAATCAGGTTATCGGAACCTCGAACTTCTTCGGGTGGCTCCGTGGAATTGACGACATTTGCAGGTGGCAGCACAAGTTCGGTTATGGAAATCAACGGTAGAATGGTCGAACCGAACACAAGTTCGGTTATGGTAGAATGGTTGCGATGAACTATCCGTGAAGGTTCAGTGGTCATTGAAGAGGATAAAGTAAGATCCGTGGCTGCTTCCACATACGGCTTTTCTTCCTGTCTTTCAAACATAATTTCTTCAGCCTCCTTATCGCCGAGGGTTGCTGTTATGTTCGTTGGAAGTGGAATGGTAGTTCTTGGTTCCGAAGTCGCGTTCATGCCGGAAGATTCACCCAACTCGTTACTGAGAACCGAGACGTAATTTGTGAAATCAGATTCTCCAGGATGGGTGGAGGTTGGAATCACGGGAGCACCTACGAGAAGGATAGAATTAATCACGATTCGCAATTTGGCATCCAGGAGAAAATGCAGATTATACTTTTATATAAGCCTTATTTTTTCGCGGTTTACAGTCGACAAAATATTGTTTCATAAATGGAATTCGATTTAATCCCAAATGATGGACATTAATTCGGAGCTCAAGCAAAAAATATTTTGTCACTGGAATTTCACTTTCAACGAGATTTTTATTTTCGTTATGTTGCCTGCAAATACACATCAGGTTGCAGTGTGAAAAAATAACAGATAATATAACTTTGATTGTCGCTTACTCGTGACCAAATTCTCAATTTCACAAAATATAAACTGTTTATATGCAGAACAATACAAATTTTTAGTATACTTATTTGTTTTTGATTGGGTAGTGTAAAATTAATTTTTTTCGCAAAAATTTCATCAGATGAATGTATGAGCAAGCTGTCTGTCCCACCAACTTACCTGAGTGATTCTCAACGCTGTCGCTCGCAGGAGTGGTGACGATGAATTCACCAAGCGCTGAAGATGAGATTTGTCTTTTGGCGTTGCGGGCACTGCTCGATTCAGGCTCTTCGGCGATGCTGGTGCTTACGGAAGACGTCGAAATACCGTCATTGTGGGAGTCCAGAGGAAAAGGCGTGCTCACGAAACCTCCAGTCGATTGCTCGGACGGAGATGCAGTCGATGATTTCGGCTTGTACGATACCGAATTGGACTTTGTGGATAAAGTGGACGACGAAATAACTGGAATATTTTCTGTTGTCGAATAAATTGTTAAGTTCGGAGAATGGTTGAAGTTAGTTAAAGTAGCGTCACTTTTACGGCTCTCAGTTATTGCAGAAGCTGTGGAGGTACTCTGTATTTTCTTTCTGAAAAGAATGGCACCGTTTTCCAAGTAAGGAACAGATTTCATCCAGGATGGAAAGTGCCTGGAACGTCCCGAAATTTGAGTGTTGTTTGGTTGGGGAGCAACAGGACGCCTCGTGCGTCGCGGTAATGTATCAGCCTCATGAATATCTCCTTGCCGGGGAATTTTGGCACCGGTGGGGTTACTTTCATTTCCGACAAGATTCATCTTACTTGGAAGAGGGAGTTCAGTTTTGTTTTGATCTTCCTCCGTGATGCTTATCGCGGGCTTAGAATAATAGTTAAGAAAGTTTGTCGCTTCAAAGTCCATTTTCTTCGTTGTCTCACTGCGCATAACGTAATAGGGTGTCACGATGACAATCTTCGGAGTAGTGGTTTGCACAGGCGGTTTTGTCATCTTAGTGTGAGGCCAGACTTTGCCTTTTTTCCGGGGAATTTTGGTACTATTGCTACTTGGAATGTACTGCGTACTGGTGGTACTTTCATTGCCGACAGGATCCAAATTACTTAAAAGAGGGAGTACAGTTTTGTTGTGATTCACCTCGTTGACAGTCAGCACGGTCTTAGAATAATAGCTGAGAAAATTTGTCGCTTCAATATCCTCCGTTTTCTCACTGCGCATAACGTAATAGGGTGTCACGATGACAACCTTTGGAGTAGTGGTTTCAACGGGCTGTTTTGTCTGCCTTCGAGGAGGCCCAGCTTTCGAGTCGTGTAAGGAAGGAATCGGTTTCTCTAAAGTTTCGTGCAGATCACGCGTAAGATTGTGGTTCGCAGTTGCCAGCGTCTCGTTGTCTTGGCACAAATCAGTATCGCCAAGATGAAGCCGACACCGTACAGAAGCCTGGGACTTCGATGAAATTTCTGCACTGGCTCCAGCCGCGTAGCTCCTCTGGAGCTCTAGACGAGGCCTGGGAAGAGAAAGGAACGATTCGAATTTATGATAATTAAATTATATGTACGATCCGAAACAAATATGTCAATAACTATGTATTATCGGCTGCGAATGGAATGCAAAATGCAAATTATTTCATGTAAATCCCTCTCACAGATACAAACAATAAGTCCGAACCAATACAATGTCTGTCAAGTTAAGATTAGCAAACGGAATGAGCAAAGTTAAATGATATCTTTAAAGATTAGTTGATCAACAGAAGATGAAACAATCTTATATGTTTCACGTTATGAGGGACAAGCAATATGGGCTAACCGATTATAACATTATTTATGTTGTCTTAGATAAGTGTTGTTGTGAACTGCATTGGATTCGTTGAATGAAGATAGTTCTGCATACCCTATTGTGGGAGCCTAATACAATTTGTATGATGATACGAGTATATACCGTTCAGTTGATACAATATGGTAATATTACGGGTGGATAAAATATATAATACTTGATGCAACACGTGTAATGTAGCGAATGCATGATACATGGTACTACTCGTGTAATGTAGTGTAAACAACTGTAGCGACTCAATACAATTGTAGCGAGGGTATACTAGTATAGCGAAGGCATACAAGTGTAGCGAGGGTGTACAAGTGTAGCGAGGGTATACAAGTGTAGCAAGAGTATACATGTGTAGCGAGGGTATACATGTGTAGCGAGGGTATACATGCGAGGGTATACAAGTGTAGCGAGGGTATACAAGTGTAGCGAGGGTATACAAGCGTAGCGAGGGTATACAAGTGTAACGAGGGTATACAAGTGTAGCGAGGGTATACAAGTGTAGCGAGGGTATACAAGCGTAGCGAAGGTATACAAGTGTAGCGGGGGCATGCATGTGTAGCGAGGGTATACATTCACACATACCGTGTAGTGGGGGCAGCGACGAGTAAGGCGGGTGCCCACAGCGCCAGCAGGTACAGGCGCGACGCTCTCATGCTTAGCTCCTGCGCACGCAGTACAGCCTTTCAGTTACAAATTTATTACAAGTTTATTGGTAACAATTCATTAAATTTAAACTATTTTATTATGAATAATCTCATTCAGGTATGGAAGGTTTTTCTCATGTCTAATTCATTCATTTAAGAATTGTCCAAGATTTTATAAAAGAGCTGAAAAAGCTGCGAAAAACTATGCTTCGCTCTCATAAACGATTTTACATTAAAATAGAGACTAGTTAATAGAATCGTGATTTACTAAAAAAATCACGCAAAAATACTCTTAAAACTTAACGGCTGAAACTCAAACGAGTTTAAATTTTATCAAAATTGATCTGGATTAAATCTCATGTGAATATTTTGCATAACAATATTTCCCGCGTTTAACTCAAGATCTAGATACCAAATTGATCTTATAATAAATGAAACTTCAATTTTAAAAACCCTTACCGAATTTTCCAAAGATAAGAATAAATGAAAACAATACCTAAAATATGAATTAAATGCTCACTTTGGATAATTTTCCTGTCTCAGGAGTGGATCATAACTACTCGACGGTTGAGCTTGACTGATGACAGCATGTCAACTGCACCTCCTTATATACCCTCGACCCCGGCTACCCTGCCTCACGAAGTGCTGTGGTCGAACGACCGGTTAGGCCTACTCCTTATCAGTCACTGATCTCTGAAATTTCTTTGTTATCTATATTATTATTTTGCTTTATGGGCGATGCTCCAGAGCATACGAGATTAGGAGAAGACAGTTTAACCAAGAATTTGAAAGCCCCAAAAAAATCGTATATCACCAGACCTTCATTGAAAACGTTTAGGTATAATACCAGCTCCATCAGTTGAAAAAAGCCAGAAGTGATGTTCACTGAAGTGAATAAATTCATTTAGACGAAAAAATATAATTAAATTCGATGTTTCCACATTTAAATATAATATACATGTACATGTTTTACATCCTTTTAAATTCTTGCTTCTTGAAGTCATGTAAATTTTCTGATTATTTTTCTTTTAGAAATTTAATCCCTGAAAATATTTCACTTCCGATTTTTTTCCAGTAATCTGATATTAGTTATAGAAGCTCATTTCTCCTCGTAATCAATAGAAATAATCTCAACAGCTCGTGTTGAATTTAATCTCAACAGCTCGTGTTGAATTTAATCTCCACAGCTCGTGTTGAATTTGAGGAGCTCAGCGAATGATTGCTTGCTTTTACTTGCACCAGCCAGGACTGTGACAGAAAAAATATAAAAATTTGAAGAATACAAAATTAAATAAAAAAATAACTAGAAATCTGAATAATCCATGGGTATTGTAGGTTGTTTTATAATAAGATTTTTGTCTCTAAAACTGTCGCCATTTTGAATCTCAAGTGTGATAAAAGATGTAAAGAAATGGGTTTCAAAATTAGTTTTCTTCATGATTTGCACGTTGAAAATAATCCAGCATTTTATGACCAGCGTTGATCAAGAAAACAAAGTAAAGGAATTACTCCCCACACTAAATCAAGTTGAATGGCAAGAACTATCGCCTCATTACTCAGAGTGAAGTGAGTTGTTTGCGTGATCACTCTGTGCTTGCTGCGAGTTGGTGGAGAAACGAGCACTCTGTAAACGATGTAAAAGTATTATACCATGCATCAAGAGTGTAAATCCCACTGATCGTCTTAATAACTTAATCATGCAGCTTTTCCATCAAATTATTCAGCTAGAATTCATGAACTTTATATTAAACTAACATGTAATTTCTAAGTTTATTAATTGAAAAATTACTGCTGCATTATTTTTGTTTCCTAGCTAAACGAAGTTTAAGCACGCCTGTAAAACTATGTCTCTTACTTAAGGTGCCGAAATTACTTCTAAATATTCTCGTTTATGTTTCAAATATTGGCAAGTCCTTCTTTAACAGCAAATTTCTGAAGTCTTTAATGAATTTATAGAGTTAAGATATCACGTTCTCAATTTATATTCGCTGTGAACTCAACATTCTGTTCATTTACGTTCCAATTATCACTGGGTGATTTTTTTTGTATTTTCGGGCTTGGCATTTAGTTCTTTTCCATTTTAGTTTAGTTCCATTTCCTGTGAAAACAGAAACAAATATCACGCATTTACTGCGCTCATAAGAACACTTGATTAATAATAATACTCGTAAACACGAGAATAGCCAAGACACAGCTAAGTATATCTCGCAGGACCAAGTGACCACTAACTAAGAAGGCAAGTCCCCATACATTAAATTTACGACTTATTTCCGCCCTGAAGAAAAATATCCGACATAATGCTGGACTATTGAGAGATTAAGTATTTACTACCTGCTGTACGATGTGAATAATTGAAGAGAGCAAGTATTATCTCGTGCCCATATTGTGCGGTTGACCACACTGATATAGCAGCTTGTTTATACTTTCTGTGACACGCTTGCTTGAACAACAGATGAGTCGCCTCTCGCCTATAAATTAAAAGCTACATATTTTATATGAGAAGTTGATAACAAAACATTCCAATGATATCTAGAAATCTGGAAAATTAGGATAAGTTTTGCACAACCAAGTACGTTTCTGATTTTATTGTTTTATTGAGTACAGTGGCGACTTTAGTGTAAGTTTTGTATGATAGATAAACTGTGTCAAAATTTAGACAATTCATTTTAAAATAATTTGTAATTCGCCGAATATGCTATTTTATAATATCTTTAGTGGTTCATAATCATGAAAATTTTAGCATATTTTGAAAATATCGAATCAAAATGACATGGAATTCTCATATTTCTTGTACCACACATTATTCACAATTTGACCTGGCTCAGCTATATTAATTTGAAGATGCCTGTGGCGCATCGTTGCATGGAGGGCTTCCCAGCGTAACGTCCGTTTAAATGCATGACCTAGCGCATGTAGCCAATTTTCAAGCTATTAACAAATTTTGAATTAATCACGTCTATTTGTTCATATTCTTCTCAGGACTCATATCTAATCGCGTTTCTTTATAGCAATGAACAATTCATATTTTTCGGGCCTCTAGCATCCACCGCAACTGCAGCTACATAAGCGGTGGCTGACTCAACTCTCTACACTTTGAGCGATGGAAGAATAGTTCTTCGCATTCCAGGCCGTTTAGAATGATAAAGAAAATCTATCAATTACATTAGCGGTCTGTGATAAACGCGTGTTTACAATTGTGATAATGTCTCGAGTGATGTAGCAGTTCCCAATGTCTCGAGTGATGTAGCAGTTCCCAATGTCTCGAGTGATGTAGCAGTTCCTAATGTCTCGAGTGATGTAGCAGTTCTTAATTTCTCGAGTGGTGTAGCAGTTCTCCTAATGTCTCGAGTGGTGTAGCAGTTCCCAATGTCTCGAGTGGTGTAGCAGTTCCTAATGTCTCGAGTAGCAGTTCCCAATGTCTCGAGTGGTGCAGCAGTTCCCAATGTCTCAAGAGGTGTAGCAGTTCCAAATGTCTCGAGCGGTGTAGCAGTTCCAAATGTCTCAAGAGGTGTAGCAGTACTCAATGTCTCAAGAGGTGTAGCAGTACTCAATGTCTCGAGGGTGTAGCAGTACTCAATGTCTCGAGTGGTGTAGCAGTACTCAATATCTCGAGGGGTGTAGCAGTACTCAATGTATCGAGGGGTGTAGCAGTACTCAATGTCTCAAGAGGTGTAGCAGTACTCAATGTCTCGAGGGGTGTAGCAGTACTCAATGTCTCGAGTGGTTTAGCAGTACTCAATATCTCGAGGGGTGTGGCAGTACTCAATATCTCGAGTGGTGTAGCAGTACTCAGTGTCTCGAGTGGTGTAGCAGTANAATTTTATTTTCAAAAATAAAAAAAAATTATTTTTCAAAATTTTTTAAGATATCAAAATTGTGTACATTTTCAAAATTATTTATTTTGTCAATTGGTTCATGCATTGTCTCTGACTTTTTGCAGTTGTGCAAAATTTCAGATCAATTGGACAGGTCAAATTGTGTCATATATGGATAATAAGATTTGTAGCAGACGAAATTATTTTTTAATTTTATTTAATAATGAAAATTTTTGTTTTAATTTATAAAATTATTTTTTATGTCAATTGATTCATACATTGCCTCCAGCTTTACGCAAGTGTGGCAAATTTCAGATCGATTGAACAGGTAGAAGTGTGTTAAATATCGATTATAACATTTGTAGCAGACAGACAGACAGACAGACAAACAAACAAACAAGAAGTGAAGTTAAAGAGAAGTGTTGTAATAACGTGCTTTTATCAAACTTATTTTACATACTGTCAACAAATTGTGATTTTTCAGGAAATAAATCGTAATATTTAATCAGAATAAGTCGTAAGAAACAAATGCATAGGTGCATGTTGTATGTTAGTTTACACTGGCTCTTTATCTCGTTCTTCCATCGTTTTAACGGCAAAACGCATTAAAAATTCGTTCGCAGTTTTTGCCTCAATGGTTTAATAAAAATTCTATACGCACTGTAACATAATTGAGAACAAAGCAGCGTTTCATGCGAGAGAATTGTCAGATTTTGACCGAGACACGAGACTGTCTTCTTATTCATGAGTATAATTTAGAAGTAGGCTAATTAAAAAGCTTGATAACATGCCTTAGGTATACTTATTTGGCAGAGTATTATTATACTCTGACTATTATACAGTACTATAGTACCTGATTAATACACAGTACTTATCGACTGCTCGAGAAATGTTTAGCTTACTAAGAAATCTTTCCTCTTATAATATTTTATGAAATTGCAACAAGGTTGTCTATTACGCGGCCTTACCGCAAAGTTGCTTTTCTAAATAATACGGACTATATAGTGTTTGAATTTGTAACAAAATCCACTACAACGAAAAAACATGTCTTTCTTCCCATATCACATGCTTGATCAAGTGACAGGATTCCCCGTTGAAAACTTGTGTCTAATTTGGCATTGATGATTCCTGTTTATATGTACTAAAAACGCTTATATACCTACTTGTGCTGAATTAATAATTGCGGGAATATAT